GAGAGCAGCTGATATAACTTCAGATCACCACCTGGTTGTGGTCAAGATGAGACTGAAGCTAAAGAAACACTGGACAACTGAAGAAACAGCACTACAAATGTTCATTACAGTCTTCTTTCGAGATACGGACAAGCTCAACGAACTCAAAATAATTCTTAACAACATGTTTCAAGCTTTACAGGATCTGCTGAAAGTACAAAAAACTACTTTGGACGATGACTGGAAAGAGATTAAAGAAACACTAACTTCAACGGGTCAACAGGTTCTGCGTCCTAAGAAACTTCGTCACAAGGAATGGATCTCTATGGGAACCCTGAACAAGAAAAAAGGAAGGAAGAACAAGAAACTAGCAATTAATAACAGTCAAACACATTCAGAGAAAGCCAAAGCACAAGCAAACTACTCAGAAACAAACAGACAAGTGAAGAAAAGTATTGAGCCGACAAGCAGATATACATGAGAGAACTAGCAACGATGGAGGAAAATGCTGCAAGTGAAGGGAATATGAAACAACTATATGATACAACGAAGAAACTGGCAGGGAGATATTGCAAACTGGAGAGACCAGTCAAAGACAAAGAAGGGAGGCCAATCATGGAGATTCAAGAACAGAGGGAAAGATGGGTAGAATACTCCGAGGAACTGTTCAATAAAGCAGCCCCATTGAATCCACTGAACATCGAAGCAGCACAAACTGACCTTCCTATATCTGTTACTCCACCAACGATCGAAGAAGTCAAGATGACCATCAGACAAATTAAGATCAGGAAAGCAGCAGGATCTGACGATATATCAGCCAAAGCACTGAAGTTAGATACAGAAGTAACAGAAAACATACTTCACCTTCTATTCAAAAAGATTTGGGAGGAAGAACAAGTACCAACGGACGGGAAATAAGGATGCCTCATCAAGATACCAAAGAAAGGAGATCTGAGCAAATATGAGGGGTAGACAAGGCTGTCTACTCTCCCCCTTCATCTCTTTTATGGTGATTGACTGTATTATGAAGACTTTGACATCTGAGGGGAAGCATGGAATACAATGGACAGCTAAGAATAGATCACACGTTTTGGACTTCGCAGATGACCCCCCCCCTCAACAAATGCAGACGAAGACAGCAAATGTAGCCTCACCCTCTGCATCAATAGGCTTCAACATATACAAAAAAAAGCAACGTCCTCAAATACAACACGGAGAACGCCAAGCCAACCACACCAGGTAGAGAAACTTTGGAAGAGGTGGAAATATTCGTGTGCCTGGTCAGTAGTAGCAAGGATGAACAACGAGGATTTGATGCAGATGTGAAGGCAAAGATTGGCAAAGCAAAGACAGCATTCCTACAGTTAAAGAACGTATGGAACTCAAAACAGCTGTCAACCAACTTCAAAGTGAGAATCTTCAATAAGAACTTCAAGACAGTCCTACTGTACGGAGCTGAAACGTGAAGAACTACTAAATGATTCAAATGGTTCAAATGGTTGAGGACGGAATAGAAGAAGCTTTCGCTTAACGGGCAGTGGATCACCAATACCTCCAGACAAAAACCTAGGTATATGAATGATAATAGAGGGAAAAAAAGAATTTGGTAAATCATAATAATATGTTATCCTTAGTCCCTAAGAATAAGTCAAGTTTTCTCTTAAAGGACTCCTGCGAGGTCGCTTGGACTAGCTCAGTCGGCAGCGAATTCCAGCACTTGACAACTCTAACGGAGTAGAAGTTGTGTCTGCAGTCTGTTCTGCTATGTAGGGTCTCCAATTTCTGGGTGTTACCTCTCAGGTTAGTGTTATGACTAAGCTTAAGAAGTTGTTTAAGGAGATGACCAGAAGTATTAAGGATACTATAAGTCATAAGAAGATCACCTCTAAGACGCCTATACTCTAACAGGTAAAGGTTAAGTGATTTAAGGCGCTCTTCATAAGGTTTGAATTTGAGACCCCGAACTGATTTCGTGGCTCGACGTTGTATACATTCCAGAGTGACCTCATCCTTTTGGAGGGAGGGAGGAAATACTATGTTTCCGTACTCTAAGTGGGGACGAATAAAACTGTTGAAGATTATGTGGAAGGTTCTACCGTCAAACTGGCCAAAAATGCGCTTCAATGTTACCAGTGCAAGGTTTACTTGAGAGGCGTTTTTGTCACAGTTCGCATACGATTTCAGGTCGTAGGGTACCAACACTCCTAAATCTTTTTCAACTTGGGAAACTTCTAGAGGTGAGTTACCTAAGTTATAACTATAGTCTGCAACATGTCTCAGATGGACTACCTTGCACTTTGAAGTGTTGAAGGTAAGTCCGTTGACGTCTGCCCAACTTTGAAGTCGAGTCAGATCCTCCTGCAGAACTAGTATATCATTGTGAGTACGTATCTCTCTCCAAAGTTTCACATCATCAGCAAAAAGCAATAAATCAGATGAAACTTGTTGAGGAAGATCGTTAATATAAATCAAGAACAGAAGAGATCCTAGTATTGAACCCTGCGGGACCCCACTAGGACATTCCATAGCCTGAGAGAGAGTGAAGTTAACCCTGACCTTAAAATGTCGGTTTTCTATGTATGAAGTGATCCAGTCAATTAAAGGGGGTTTTATACCCAATCGTCCAAGCTTCTTGATATGACATGCATGGTTGACCCTATCAAAAGCTTTTGAGAAGTCCAGGTAGATGACGTCAACCTTCCCCTTGCGATCAAGGATGGTTGTCCATCTATCCACCGCAGTCAGCAGGTTGGTCATACAAGAATGACCTTTTCTGAAACCATGCTGTTGAGGCGAGAAGAACTTTGAGGATGATAAGTGTTCTAGTATGCCGTCGAATACTAGGGATTCCATAATTTTTGAAGGTATGGAGAGAAGGGCCACTGGTCAGTAGCTTGAGGGTTCACTGCGTCGACCTCCTTTGAAAATTGGTGTGATGTGGGCCAGCTTCCATATTTCCGGTAGTTTGCCTATGCTTAGCGAGTGTGCAAACATCACGCTAAGTGGTGTCGCCAGGATTGAAGCTGCTTCCCTCAATACAGCGGAATGAACCATGTCCGGACCAGGAGAAGTGTCTTTTCTTAGGTTCTGCAGTTTACGGAGCACCAGGTCAGCACTCAGATCCACCTCGTAAAGTCCTTTACAGGTGAAGCTTTCGTCAGTATGGTTGATGTGGGTCAGCTGGAATGTCCGGGAGTAATGTTCAGCCAAAAGGTTAGCGGGATCACTGTCGTTGTTGGTCGGGCCATTAGGACCAAGCAGTTGGGAAACTCCAGTTTTGCCTTGTCGAAGAGAAGCTGCATAACTGAACAAGGTTTTCGGATTGGAGACGAATCTATCGATAAGCTTGGTCTGGAACTGAAGCCTGTCTTCTCTTATTGCCTTTGTGCATATGTTCCTTATATGTTTGTATTGCCTGTACGCGCCGTTGTTATCAGTTCGTTTATATTCAGCCCAACAGTGCCTTTTGCGGCTTAGCAAACGACGAGTGCGGTTCTTGATGATTGCAGGTTGCTTCTAGCTTTTTGGGACCATTTTAGGAACTGAATGCTCAGTAGCACATAAGATCGTGTGCAGTAAAAAATCCCAATGAGCATCCACTTCAATTTGAGGGTAAACATCCCAATTCACCTGTTGAAGATAGTCCTGTAAAGCTAACACATTCAACCGTTTGAAGTTCCAGCGCTTGTTGTTAGTAGGATATCGTAGCTCCGTCTTGCTGACAAAGCTGAATGATAAGACGGCGTGATCACTTTTCCCCAAGGGAGCCAGGATTGAGAGGTCGTCAACTAGGAATTCTTCGTTTGTGAATACCCAGTCTAAGCGTGACGGCGTCTGACTGTTTCTCCAACGGGTTGCCGACTTCACATTTTCAAATAATCCCAGGTCGCCGATAAGGTTGAAGAACAGAGCTTCAGTAGAGTTGGCACCACCAATGTATGTATGTTCTGCGAAGTTGATTCTAAGGAGATTGAAATCCCCTAGAATCAGGATATGAGAGAATCCGAGACGCATAGAGCGAGTTAATCCTTCCAGCAGACGTTTGTCATATTCGATGTCGGCAGTGGGCTTCCTGTAAACGACCCCAACTAGGCACCTCGAGGTGGTAGATAATCTTACTGAGCACCATACTAACTCGTCAAGATTGTGAAACTCTTGGTTGTGAAGTTGGTGCGCATCCAGGCATGACCGTACGTATAGTGCTCCCCACCCCCCATTCCTGTTTTTCTGTCGTTGCGAAATAAAGACATCCCAGTTATTGCTAACTCTTGGTCCGTAAACTGAGACGTTATCCAAGTTTCGGATATTCCTATCAGATGGGCATCATTACCGTTGCTAAGTTCACGTAGATCATCCATTTTGTTTGACAAGCTCGCGGCGTTCGTGTATAGGCAGATTATGCTTTCAATTTGAAACGCGTGAGCCTCTTCTTGTTTGTCTATATGAGCCGTGTGTTAGTGGACAGGTAGCCTACCTATACAATGTTTACCGAGTTGGTAGTCCCTGACCTTTACACCTTTTTTTATGATCAAGACAGTCCACGAGTGGAATTGTCAGCTCCAGCTTTCGTTTGTGCTTGATCATCCATCGTCAAAAAGGTGCAGGTATTTATAAACAGCTGTCTACGCAAAATACTCAACATTCACTGGCCGGATACTGTCAGCAACAGCGTTCTATGGGAGAGGAGAAATCAGCTTCTAGCTGAATAGGAAATTCAGAAAAGACGTTGGAAGTGGATCGGATATACATTAGGAAAATCACCAAACTGCATCATGAGACATGCCCTAACTCAAAATCCGGAAGGAAAGCGGGAAAGAGAAAGGTCAAAGAACAGAAAACGTTGGGAAGTAGAAGCAGATATGAAAAGGATGAATGTTAACTGGAAAGGATTGTCCAGGACAGGGTTGGATGTAGAATGTTGATGGGTGGCCTATACTCCTCCACGAGGGCTAACAGGCGTAAGTAATAATCTATTAACCTCAGAAACAACGCAATTTAATCAAGAAGTATTAGATTATCACGAACTAATGTATCGTATTTGCAATTCAAGACCAAACAGTCATCCATACAAGGGAATCATTGGTTCATTCAAACACCACAGTTTGATGTTTGGATTTCAAGTTATTGGATATTGGGACTAACTTAACAGGTGTGCTACACTACATTAGTCATGACTGTTGCTATTCCGGGCGAAAGTGCTAGAGAGAAAGCACTAAGTTACTACAGACGTAAACTTGTGGAACATAGAGGGATAGATGCAAGACTCAAGGAAGGTAATAATTCTATCCCGTTATTATTCATAAACTAGCTCGAGAGAAATCCAAAGCGATTTCCAAAGAGTACGACAAAGCAGAGAATGATTTGAAAGCGCTCCAAAGTGTTGGCCAGGTATTCTATTTTGTTTTCTATTTAATTAGTGATTAAAGATAGTAGGTGATGTTTTGAAGCAGCTGACCGATGATCACTGTAAGTTGCTTTCTGTTCCATATAGTTGCTAAACACAATCTCCCTATTTTGGGGAAATTTCGTGGAAGCCGCTGTAAAAAATCTTGAGTAATGGCGCAAAATTCCAGGGATAATTGTCATTGAACTATGGGAAAACCCCGAAATTTTCCCAAAACCAGGAGATTGGGAATCATTTTCATGTTTCGTTTGTCATTTCGACTCGGACTGCTTTCCCTAATAATGTATTTCTAAAGAGTTGAAAGATAGTGTGGTTAGTCGTAATATGTATGTTCGTAGTATCATAATCGGGTTTAGTTTGGGACATCATAGTGCTTCCAAGCTGTCTGTTAAACGGAAATGTCCTTAAAGCACCTAGTAACACTTTTGAAGCCCAATGGATAAATGCCTCAGGGTAAATTATGTCACACAACCGCCTATTCGTTTTTAAAAATCAAAAGTATTGAGTGCATATCATTTCTCTCCGTCAACAACATTGAAAGCAGTCGTAAAATAGTTTGTTGCGATGGTATGGTTATGTCACCTAGGGATGAAATGACGATATCTACTGAAAATACTATTGATGCTTCGATTAAAGTCACCTTGGGAAAGTACTCCAGCAGTCTTGCTGTAAAGTGTCCCAAGTAATACCTAATCAGTCGGCAGTTATCAGTATGCTACGCAATTAACATTGAAAAAGACAACAGCATGTGGCTGAAGTCATCATCAATAATGAGTTCCAAAAATATTCCGAATAATTATATGAGCATCTGTACAAGTATCTCTGCATCGGACTTGTCGAACACAATCTCCCTTAACTAAGAGTTTGCTGTTTCTGCATCAGGTGATTGTTATCTGCCAAATATTGGTTCCACTGCTATATAAGTAATGATAAGATTCAGAAATATTTACATGTCCGAACTTACAGACTTCATTATCTAGTGACGCCATTTCCATTGAACTTGGAATCCTTTTTACGCATTCATCTAATGGGTTGCGTTCTATGAACGTTTCTTCAACTGGGTGAAAGAAACGGAAATACCAGTTTGTGACGTATGGGGTTTTAGTAAAGGATAATCTTGATAGGTGTACAATTGAAGGTACATTTTACCTGAACACCGCAAAACAGTGGTCATGGCCGAAAATAAAAGCTACTGGTGGTCTTGCCTGTTTTTTTTTCGTAAATGGTAAGCTGTATTTTTGTAAGGTGAGACACAGTGGTTGTGTTCTCAATTGGCTTGTGTCCTTTGGTATTCGTTGTTTTCGCTTGTACGATGTGATTATTTTATAATGTTTCATAATGCTTTTATTGCCACAATGTTTTTTGAGGTCCAACTTAAATGCACTGTGGCACCTTAACGTGTGTTACTAGTGAACTAATTGTTAGAACCAGTGATAACTATCTACTAAACTTCTAAGCTTCGAAATGCATTGCTTTAATTCGCTAAAGTGGTCATCAGGTTAGGTAAATGACTATATTCTTTATTAAAAGACAAACTGTTGGCATAGAAAAGATAACTCTTAATAATATACTTCTTTCTTAAGTATGTCCTGATGTTTTCTACAAAAACAATAAAAACCTCACGAATAAGTAGTTCAACTGAAACAACGCAACACCTCCAGAATATTTGGAAACCAGGATCATCCAAACTTGGTCTGAAACAGAATACTGTCCGAATATTTACGACATCCAAACACTAAAAGCTCCGAAATACAATTTACGGCAAAGCAAAGACAGCATTCCTACAGTTAAAGAACGTATGGAACTCAAAACAGCTGTCAACCAACTTCAAAGTGAGAATCTTCAATAAGAACTTCAAGACAGTCCTACTGTACGGAGCTGAAACGTGAAGAACTACTACATCCATCGTCAAAAAGGTGCAGGTATTTATAAACAGCTGTCTACGCAAAATACTCAACATTCACTGGCCGGATACTGTCAGCAACAGCGTTCTATGGGAGAGGAGAAATCAGCTTCTAGCTGAATAGGAAATTCAGAAAAGACGTTGGAAGTGGATCGGATATACATTAGGAAAATCACCAAACTGCATCATGAGACATGCCCTAACTCAAAATCCGGAAGGAAAGCGGGAAAGAGAAAGGTCAAAGAACAGAAAACGTTGGGAAGTAGAAGCAGATATGAAAAGGATGAATGTTAACTGGAAAGGATTGTCCAGGACAGGGTTGGATGTAGAATGTTGATGGGTGGCCTATACTCCTCCACGAGGGTTAACATGCGTAAGCAATACAATATACAGTGTAATTTCAGGAGACCGAAATTAGTATTTTATAGGTTCGAATAATTAGTGACGATAGTAAAACAAATGGGATTTTCTGGACTACTAATGATCATATTGTCACTTTGAGCAGAGGAAAATGTGAAGGACTCATAATCAGTTGAAGTTATAGCCACGCTTTTCGAAGTACGTTCGAAGCTAACCCTTTACAACTAATTGCATTGTAGAAGACTGTATTCTGGATGGTGAATAAAAACGTATGTGACCTCCAAGCCCAAGTATATCTATCTGAGGTTATAACGCGCCGTAATCATAGAGGTGGTAGTTTTATGGCTCACAACTTGAATTTATGTAGGAAAAAGGATTGTAGTCTTGGAATCGGGTTTCTCTAACCTCTCACAATGCTCAGTCGCCATGGACAGAGTTTTCACCCGATGCAAACACCTCACTACTATCACATTCCACCAGTTGCATTCTACAGTCGCCAGTATAACTGCTCAAGTTGTATGTCATTGCTACTTGTCTTTATTATGGCAGTAACCGGTTTCTTTGGTTTTAAAACTGACCATTCTAACCAACATAATTCAACCTATTTTTTTAAAAAATCAACTGATATTTCCATCGTTGCTTGCACGTGTGAGCTGATTTCTTCTCATATAGGAAACTGGTGTATGTCGATCAGTTCTATCAAATGTAAGTACCGCGAAATATACTCGATTTGACAAATGTTTATATCTCTCCCCATCATAGCTTTTTAGAGTTGGAAACTAGTCCCGAACAGATTTAGAAAGTTTAATGCAACCTTGTGAAAATTCAGGCACTATGTTACGCACTATTTTTATCTGGAAGCCTGGTAACTTTGTTTTCATTGGATGATATGAGATTAACATCGATAACCTTGCTAAATGTAGAAAGTATAAATCATTGTCACAGTACAGTATTATAAGTTATTTTAAAGGTAAGTGTACTTTAGTAGTTTACTTCATAACACTCGGTCATTCCACTAAACGTTTATGCCATTTTCGACTTTGTCGGATGCATTCTATTGATAGAGGTCTATCTTTGTTCCCTAGTCATTGTTAAGGCTAGTAATGGACCGCGATATGTTGTTGGCTGTCGACGCAGTTTACAAAGCAGTAAATTAAAGCCGGGTACTAGAGTTGCATTGGACATGACCACATTGACAATTATGCGCCAACTACCACGTGAAGTCGATCCACTAGTTCATAACATGTCTGCAGAAGACCCAGGTTCTGTATCTTATGCTTCCGTTGGTGGTCTGGCTGATCAAATTCGTGAACTCAGAGAAGTAATTGAACTCCCGCTTATGAATCCAGAATTGTTCCATAGAGTTGGTATAACCCCTCCAAAAGGATGCCTTCTTTATGGTCCACCGGGGACTGGGAAAACTCTTCTAGCACGTGCAGTAGCATCACAACTTGATGTTAACTTCTTAAAGGTATTTTAGATTCTCTACTGTTGTTTTGCACTGTGTACCATGATTAATAACAGTTATGTCACTGCGATCAATTCGAACTGTGACTACATGGAGTTAATTGAATCGATTATTACTATTCCTAATAGTTTATTTTAAGTGATGACTTAGCTAAAACTGCAGATACAAAACCAAACCACCTTACTGCAAATAAAGTTGAGTCACTGAATATTGATGACTCAGAACGTTCTCGATATTAAAACAAGTCACATAAGGTCATAATAACATGAAGAATGGTTTTGACATGTTTGGACTTTCAGGTTATCTAGTAACACCAACAACTCTCTAATATGTTGATATAATACAAGTGTTAGCTCATGTAATTATATTCTATAGATAGAGACGTTTTATTTCGTCTGGAATTGTGATAACTTAATTATAAACTTATCAGCCGGTCTTAATCAGCATTGAACCTAGCACAAATCTTCCTCACTTCACTTTATCACACATCAACACAGCGAGATAAGATGGGAAAAGTATATACTAAGACATAAGAAGTATCAGTGGTAGTGAATAAGATTAGACGGGATGTGATTCGAGAAAAAAGCACAGAACAATTTTAAAACTTAAGATCTGATGCTAGATAAGGTGTAAATGCATATATTTGCATCATTGCGGTTAATTTTGACCAAATCATTCAGTGTCTTCAACTATTGGTAACTATAATCATAGAGAGTCCGACTATTTAGTTTGTATCACTGACTTTATTCACGAGTGCCATATCTTGCCTTGGCCGCTCCTAGTTTCTGTCTAACTTACTATATTAGCCGAAATTTCACGCCGGTAGTAATTAATTAGTTATCCATCGTTATTTATGTTTGATATTGTCACGATTGTGTTACACTACTACAGATGCACTCATTCAATGCTAAAAATAGCATTACCCCCAGTTTAATACGTTTCTTTTAGTTTCTCACCAATGTTTATATGATTATTGTTTATTTTCTTATCCTTTCGTTAGTTTAAAGTATGATGTACACTTGTTATAAATTATCCGTCTAGAAGTGTAAATATGCTCAAATTCTAGGTCAAAAAATCTCTGGCAATAGTTTAACATTATAAAACATACAGGACGTATTATGATTTGTGCCACTTAAGGGTAAACGTTTTTGCATTGAGCTATTAAATTTGGACGAGTGGTCAATTTATAAGAGTAAAACTTTCGCCCTCAAATACCCTGGTATGGCCGAAAGTGGGGAAAGTCAGCTCTCCATCTCAAAATGCTCTCATATGGTCGCATGCATACAACCACTGCTAGGGTAGTCCTGCTCACTGCCTTCTCGTGGAGGAATTGTTGTTTACGAAATTGAGAGGACGAAAACCGAATGTCTGGCGCTTTACGCGGATTGGTAGATACGGACGATCTACCTAGGTGAGTTGGAAAACCCTGATTCCGAACCAATGGTGCACATGGGCTCCAGTATCCTGAGGGAACAAATGGCGTATGAACCCACTGTTGGTCGCCAGCTACCACGGGACTGTATCTGTTGACGTTGCTCTACTGCCTTGTGGACTATAACTTTAGGTCAAAGGCTCCGGGTGTGGCTCCCTAAGCAAACCAACTGATTCGGTTTGGGCACCCGAGCAGTATCCCAGTCCTCACTCAAATCGAATGATTTACATGGCGCCTATGTTATTTTTTAATCATGAAGATAAATAAGCTTAGTTGTATATTCTAGATATTTATGATGTTATATACACTTATTTCTTGGTGACCAGGATATAATTTACTTAGTCCAATTGTCAAAAGAAACAATAAAATTTCGTTCTACTTAATTTTTCCATAACTAGCATATGTATATAATACAAACTTTTTGTTTTAAAACTCTTTCGGTAGTTGGTTGAAAGATTAGAGGGGTTTGGAAGGTATATAGTTAAAATATACTCCAAATGTCTCGTTTTTATTTTCAGTCTTCTTCCAAAATACTTCCTTTCATTTTGACTTTACAGTGTTTAAGGTGACTTATAAATGTGATGCTCAATAGAATTTTACTGAATTTCCTAAAATGGTCAATAAATATTCTGTAGTTATTACCACTGGGTTGCTTATTTATAAATATAAGTCATTTCATTCTATGACAGCCTACAGCTGAATGTCTCATGAAAGAAGTTTTCAACTTTGTGAACTCGTTTCAGATCACTTAAATGATGAATAAAGTACTAAACAGTAGATAATATGGAATAATACGACTTGATCAACTAATACCTGCTAATGGGACAGCATTGTTCAGTCAGTCAGAGACAACGTAGAACTTCGTACGTACGTACATTAATTCAAGTCGCCATACCACATTAGCACAGAAATGCAGTTGTTGATTCAAATCTCATAGTGGTAGAAGTAGTAAGAGTATAAGCAGTAATCCGAAGATGTTATTCAAGGAGTATAATCTAGTGAAATAAATTTGAAAAGAGAAAAAAGATAGGGACATAAAGAATTTAGATTAGAATTTGGTAGAACACAAAGAGTGGATGCACCTTCGATTTTGAGCCATGTCATTCGAGGTCTCTAACCATCGGTTGCTATCATATCGCGGATCCCAACCAGGTAGTCTACATCTACCAACATGGCTCAGTCTACTTGTCAGTGACTTCATGGTTTTAAGCTACGTTTTGGCCTGGCCGCCGTACTTGGCTTTCTTCCAACCTACCCCTACACCATAAAACATTGCACGTCGGGGCAGTCGGTGGTTGAGCATACATAACACATGTCCCATCCATCTCAACTGATGAAGTCTCATTACTTCATCAATCGATTTGATATCCTTACCTAGTACCCGTTGCTTAACAATTGCATTACTTACTCGGTGGTCCCAGGATATGCGGGCAATGCTTCGAAGACACCTATGATCGAATGCTAGTAGCCTACGAATATCCTCTAATATTACCGGCCATGTTTCACTGCCATAAAGTAGGACAAAACCAACTGCTGCGCAGTGAACCCGTCCTTTGGTTGCTAGACGGAAATCTCGCCTACGCCATAAATGATGTAAGTTGGCAAAAACTAGACGAGCTTTCTGTATCCGTGGACAGCATTGTTAACATTATGCCTCTAAATAAACTTACCAAGACAATATAACTCATCGGCAGAATAGTTTATTTCCAACAAAGTGCCATGCTTACATTCAGAATGTTACACATAAAAATACAATTATTGTTGGTCATTCAAGCCAATGGAATTAGGACTTGTCCACCAAGTTTTGTTATTACTCTTCTGTTGGGGAATACATATTTCCGTGAAATTTGACCAAAACCATCCTTAGAAAATTTAAAATCTCCATTTTTAAATTTTTGCCTGCTTTCAGTATCTCAAGTCTCAAATTCTTAATGAGTTGTTCTCAAGGTTTCCACCGGATTCCCTGTTAATAACCACGCTTTTTCTACTATATTCAAATTGTTCGATTAAAGCTGTAGTAAAACTTTGTCTTTCCAACAGCTCATAGATTAGTTAAAGAGTTGTTAATAGAACCTTGCGCTTTCACGTTGGCATTGTCTTGTTGTGTAGTCAAGCTAATACACAACATTTCCTACACAATAGATTCACAAGTAATCTAACGGAAACTTTATTTTTTAAAATTAAATCATAATAGGTTGTATCCAGTGGTATTGTTGATAAATATATTGGTGAATCGGCTCGTCTTATTCGAGAAATGTTCAATTATGCACGAGATCATCAACCCTGCATTATTTTTATGGATGAGATTGATGCAATTGGTGGTCGTCGTTTCACTGAAGGTACAAGTGCTGATCGTGAAATTCAACGTACTTTAATGGAATTATTAAATCAAATGGATGGTTTTGATGCACTTGGTCAGGTAACTGTCGATATTGTCCGTTTCTAAAGAGCTGTTTATCTTTAGTTTATTTTCTAATGTATGTATTACAAAGTTACTTTTCATTGAAGTCCAAATCGTTATAGTCACTGGTAAATATGCATTTTTCTCAAGGGTGGGTTATTCTCTGGAGTGAATGTTCTTAATCGAACTCTTCATGAATTACCGAGAAAATTTTTTAACCAAATCTAAAATAACATGGACTTCTACGGAATTTGGTTTACCATTAAAAGTCAAAGAGCATTGAACGTCTGTTTTATTTTCTCATGAGGTTCCTCAGCATTGTTGACTCGCTAACCTAACAGTAATCAAACCCAAAAGCTTATAGAAAACGCGTTAACTCTAGGTCACTGAGTTAACATCTGATGGTTTACATTTCAAACTGCAGTCAATTCTCAATATTGCCATAGGTCATAGTGCGGTGTATGCTACCTATTTTTACAGATGTAAGTAGTATATTGTTAACGTATGACGTGTTATGACCACCAATCAGAGATCAGCGAATTTATCGATTCGAACAGTGACAGGCGAAAACCGTACGAGCAGTCTAGAGTACGTATCGGTCTTGCTTGTGCCTAGCTCAGCCAGTTAAGTCCAGAACAACCTCTGCGGTATGTATCATTGTATTGCAAATATACTAAGTTTATATATCATACAGACAAACCGCATCGTACCATAAAATAACGTTTGCACAAGATTCAGCAAAATGTGGCCGTGAATAAGGGGAACAGTAATCAATAGACTGTGTGTAATTCATGAATGGTAAATCGTATAACAATAGTCTATAGCTCAAATTAAAGCTCATGATAAGGGGAACATGAATATGAATAGTTTATTTATTTAGCGATTATACGGTAAAAAATGTGTGCATAATATTGGTCCATAAATGGATCCCAAAGTTATCATTCATTATTCTTATCGAGACATAACATATGTAACGTCAGTCGGAAGTAAAATGTTTGCTAGCAGGTTAAGAAGATCATAATGAAGAGAACAGCGAAGGAAATTGAGAGAAATCAAGATAACAGCAGTAATGGAGGAACAATGAAGCTTGTAAAAGACAATCCAGAGATGCGCCAATGATGTACTTAATATATGATTTTCACATTTCCCTAAACCACTGTATGACTGCATTAAAAAAATAAATTAGTCTTCTCCACTTGACTTATTCGTTCACCACAATACTTGTTTCACTCTCGGTATAGTCAAACTCCACTAGTCACTTATTCTCACTTTCATCATACTGGAATGGAAAACAAAACTCGCCTACATATGGTAAATTCTTTATCATAATTTGTTAGACATGAGTTTCATACTCTTTAACACATGTCAATAAGAAGTATTTATAACTCAGAAAGGCCTGGTATTGTTTGTGTTTTAAACCTCTTGTCAATTTGTTTCATAGGCTGTTGTTGATTGACTAAGGATATGTGATAGTTACTAACTTAATCGACTAAAAACTATAATATTAACCATAAAGATGTATTACAGAATGTCGACCATCACTACGATCTAACTGCATTCGATGTACTGCTTTACTTATTTGCTATTCTGTTTTTTATTTACGATCACAGGTTAAAATGATCATGGCAACTAATCGTCCGGACACCCTTGATCCGGCTCTGCTTAGACCTGGACGTTTAGATCGTAAAATTGGTAAACTTATATTATTTATCATAATTTATTTTCATAGAAATTCCTCTGCCTAATGAACAAGCTCGAATGGATGTACTAAAAATACATGCAGCTCCAATAGCCAAACATGGTGAAATAGGTAAAGTGTCATTTTCTCGTTCTTATATTATTTATATTAATTCTTCATTTGTCAAATTATAAAAGAATATTTGAGATTATGCGATAAATATCCATATATATGTCCTTACCCTTACTGTACTTATAACTAGAGTTTCCTGATTGGTTACGAAGTTGCTCATGGTATTTTTGTCAATATCAGTTAATTATAAGTAGTATAGTTATGATACATAAACTTCAAAATGAGTATTTGTTATCACTTGTAGCCTGTTTGCCCTGTTAAAGTATAACGTGATAATACCGCCAATTAGAGAGCAGTGATTTATTGATCGGACCAATGACAGTGTTACGTCGCGAAATTATTGCGTATTGCGATAAGACTACACGAAATTCTACCGGTTGACCGAATTCAGATATCCTAGTTCGACCCCAATACTGTTACCCAACTCCAATAAATCAGAACACAGCCGTCAAATGAGAATTGTTTATGGGATCAGCAGCAGAACAAAAATGGTTTACAGACAAGGCATATTTATACAGTTACGATGACTGTTAACAGTAACCAATGGAAAGGAAGGACACGTAAAGGTTATAATTAGGACAACTCAAAATTGACCAATAGGGAAACGACACATGAAAGTCATAGTTAGGACAACTGTAATAATGGCCAATAGGAAATAACATGTAAAATATGTGAAGAGACTGAAAACATGCCAATTTACATTCGAGATAATTTTTGGGGTATTCCTGTGAATATCCTAACACAGAGGAAACCCGTACGAGCAGTCTAGAGTACGTATCGGTCCTGATTTCTGCCTGGCGTAGCCAGTTAAGATCAGAACACCAATCTCAGCTTTTGCGGTATGATTCAATTATTTCAAACATACTGGGTTTATATACTAACCAGATAGACTACATCGTACCATAAAATAGGAAACAACATTTGTACAAGATTTAGCGAAATGTGGCTGTGAATAAGGGAGATAGTAATTGATAGACAGGACATGACTCAAGAATGATTAATCGTATAATATTAGTTCATAGGTCAAAATAAAGCTCACAATAAAAGGAACATGAATATGAGTAGTTTAGTTAATTAACAATTATACAATAAAAATATACACATAGTATTGGTTCATAAATGGATCCTAAAAATTACCATTCATTATTCTTATAAGCATGTAACAGTATTACTCCAGGAGTACCAACACGGTACTTTTTAACTGTCATTTAAGTGTCACTGTGTTTAACCTCGAGACAGGATAATCGTAAGTGAAATACCGAACCTAATGAAGTTAGATGATTATTATATGTTCTTGTGGTCCATTGATATCAATTTTTTTTATTTAGCTTATACCTGTAGACAATACTCAAGGACATAGATTAGTTACTGTTGTAATGCTCGATTTTCTTCGTCTACACGAATAGGATGTTAATTTGCATTAGACGTATATCTATACTAGATTCCCTCCTAGTGTTTATTCTACAGGACTTGAACACAACTCTGATCAAGAACAGGTGATTAGCCTGACTAGAACGTAAATATATTTCCACACCAAAAACCAATAACAATCAATGATAGTGAAGATAGGAGAATTTATAAAACTCATCTAACGCCTTTTAGACTATCTACAAGTCTAACTAAGCAAACAACCAATCATTATCATTCTCGCCCACACATTAGTTACTGATTTACTAACTCATTTTAAACTTTTAATCCAATGTTATTCTCCATACATATTTTAAGCAAATCCAACTTTTTCATAGTTGAAATCATGAGTCAATTGAAGCTAGACCACCATGAAAAACCTGGAAGCTCTGGACGGCCGTGAAACTGGTAGGTCTTGGGTTCGAATCTCGCGAGTGCGGGATCGTGGATGCGCACTGTTGAGGAGTCCCATCAGTCAGCGACAACGTAGGACCAGGCACATATATGCATCGGTCCAAGTTGCCATACCTCGTTAGCACAACAAGATCAACACCGGATTCATAGTAGTTAATTTAGTGGTGGTGGTAGTATATAAAAGATAGGTTGTATATAAGGATATAGTATAGGAAGGAAGAACGTTATGAGGCAATTTTAATCTCAAAGTTTAAGGAAAGATAAAGAGTGTATACACCTACGCTGTTGTGATCGATTCTAGTCCATGTCACCTAGAGTCTCCAACCATTGGTTACGATAGTCACACGAACCCCAACTAAGTAGTCTGCATCTGTCAACATGGCTCAGACCAGAAGTTAGTGACTTTGTGGACGGATGCCATGTTATGGTTTGGCCGCCCCTAACTCTCTTCCAACAATCCCCTACACTAGTCATCATAGAGCGTCGTGGTAATCGGTGTTCAGGCATACGTAACAAGTAGCCCAACCATCTCAGTCGATGAAGATTCATCACCTCATCAACTGATTTACTCTGTGTCTAACCTCACTATTACTTACCCGGTGATCCCGACAGATGCGAGCAATATTTCTAAGGCATCTGTGGTCAAATACTAGTAACCTACGAGTATCTTCTACTCTTAATGGCCATGTTTCGCAGCCATAGAGTAAAACAGAACGAACTGCTGCGCAGTATACTCGTCCCTTAATTGATAGACGGATATCTCGTCTTCGCCATAGGTGACGTAAGTTGGCAAAAGCCAAACAAGCTTTTTGAATCCGTGCTGAGATTTCGTCAGACACCAACCCATTAGGGCTGATCAGACTTCCAAGATAAGTGAAGTTGTCGACGCGTTCGACTACTTCACTCCCTATCCTTAGTTTAGGTGTTGACGCAGGGCAGTCGTGGAGTAACAATTTACATTTGGATGGGGAGAAACGCATCCCAAACATCCTGGCATTATTACTGAGTTCCAACAGAAGACTCTGCATTTTGTCAGTGTCTTCACCAAACAGGACTATGTCATCTGCGTATTCTAAGTCGACAAGTGAACCTCCTGGTAGAAGATCAATTCCTGAAAATTCAGTCGACGAGAGTGTTATTTCCAGCAACAGGTCTATAATGAAGTTAAACAAAAATGGGGATAGTGGACAGCCTTGACGGACACCACTTTAGGTTGTAAAATCATATGACAGTTCGCCATAAGCTCTCACTCGACTGGTAGTGTTCGAGTAAAGAGCCTTCACAAGGTTTATGTGCTTTTGAGGTACACCTTTCAATGACAGACACTGCCATAGAACCTCTCGGTCTACAGAATCAAGTGCTGCTTAGGAGTCCCATAATAAGACAAAACGGCCGTCCAGTGCTTCCAGGTTTTCGATGGTAGTCTAGCTTCAATTGACTCATGATTTCAACTATGAAAATACTGAAATATCCACAAAAACTCCTTCGAATTTAACTTTACTGTATAAATCTCTAAATAAAACTAAAAAGTGATATTGTAATGAACAGAACACAACTGGGGGACAATCGAATGTATTTAAGCAAAGATTACAGACTATCTCAGTAAATTCTGATTACCAAACAATGAACAGTCGATTTGCAAATTAACAACCAACTGTTTCAATCTTCACTGTTTCTTCTCTTATTCCATTGCTCATGCATTTTCCAAACGATTGCGCTTCATTTCATTTGTTTCCTCACCGGTCTTCTGCGAAAATACATTCTATGTCTGACCCACACCATTTACTACTTATATGGATATAAGTAGACCACACCACAATGTGACGTCCATTTCACACAGCATCACAGAAACACCAATAAAGAGTATTAGAATGTGCTTCATGAAAACGAAACTAGAAAATATCGTCGAAAAACAAAATAGGGATAATCATGTTCTAAAATCAGAAATATAAAGTAGTGTAGAAATAAAGTTCAAGTAAAAAGAAGAAACCAAACTAAGTTTTATTCAGTTAGTAGGATGTATCGTATGACTATGGAAAGTATGGTAGGGACATCAATGACTTTTTTCCAAATTAATAACATTTTAAACTTATAATACGCTCCCAAACAATCTAGTTATTTATAAGCAAAGATGAACAGTGGCTAGCAGTGGAATCCAGGATGCGCGTTTCGTCCTCTTTGGGACTCGTCAGCTGGATGTACCTACATCACAGAGTTGATGTTCACTCTGGGAACTCGAACCCAGTACCGTTCGCTTCAAACGCCATTGCGTTATTCCAGAATAAACATCAACTCTGAGATGAAGGTACATCCAGCTGACGAGTCCCAAATAGGTTACGAAGTTGCTCATGGTATTTTTGTCAATATCAGTTAATTATAAGTAGTATAGTTATGATACATAAACTTCAAAATGAGTATTTGTTATCACTTGTAGCCTGTTTGCCCTGTTAAAGTATAACGTGATAATACCGCCAATTAGAGAGCAGTGATTTATTGATCGGACCAATGACAGTGTTACGTCGCGAAATTATTGCGTATTGCGATAAGACTACACGAAATTCTACCGGTTGACCGAATTCAGATATCCTAGTTCGACCCCAATACTGTTACCCAACTCCAATAAATCAGAACACAGCCGTCAAATGAGAATTGTTTATGGGATCAGCAGCAGAACAAAAATGGTTTACAGACAAGGCATATTTATACAGTTACGATGACTGTTAACAGTAACCAATGGAAAGGAAGGACACGTAAAGGTTATAATTAGGACAACTCAAAATTGACCAATAGGGAAACGACACATGAAAGTCATAGTTAGGACAACTGTAATAATGGCCAATAGGAAATAACATGTAAAATATGTGAAGAGACTGAAAACATGCCAATTTACATTCGAGATAATTTTTGGGGTATTCCTGTGAATATCCTAACACAGAGGAAACCCGTACGAGCAGTCTAGAGTACGTATCGGTCCTGATTTCTGCCTGGCGTAGCCAGTTAAGATCAGAACACCAATCTCAGCTTTTGCGGTATGATTCAATTATTTCAAACATACTGGGTTTATATACTAACCAGATAGACTACATCGTACCATAAAATAGGAAACAACATTTGTACAAGATTTAGCGAAATGTGGCTGTGAATAAGGGAGATAGTAATTGATAGACAGGACATGACTCAAGAATGATTAATCGTATAATATTAGTTCATAGGTCAAAATAAAGCTCACAATAAAAGGAACATGAATATGAGTAGTTTAGTTAATTAACAATTATACAATAAAAATATACACATAGTATTGGTTCATAAATGGATCCTAAAAATTACCATTCATTATTCTTATAAGCATGTAACAGTATTACTCCAGGAGTACCAACACGGTACTTTTTAACTGTCATTTAAGTGTCACTGTGTTTAACCTCGAGACAGGATAATCGTAAGTGAAATACCGAACCTAATGAAGTTAGATGATTATTATATGTTCTTGTGGTCCATTGATATCAATTTTTTTTATTTAGCTTATACCTGTAGACAATACTCAAGGACATAGATTAGTTACTGTTGTAATGCTCGATTTTCTTCGTCTACACGAATAGGATGTTAATTTGCATTAGACGTATATCTATACTAGATTCCCTCCTAGTGTTTATTCTACAGGACTTGAACACAACTCTGATCAAGAACAGGTGATTAGCCTGACTAGAACGTAAATATATTTCCACACCAAAAACCAATAACAATCAATGATAGTGAAGATAGGAGAATTTATAAAACTCATCTAACGCCTTTTAGACTATCTACAAGTCTAACTAAGCAAACAACCAATCATTATCATTCTCGCCCACACATTAGTTACTGATTTACTAACTCATTTTAAACTTTTAATCCAATGTTATTCTCCATACATATTTTAAGCAAATCCAACTTTTTCATAGTTGAAATCATGAGTCAATTGAAGCTAGACCACCATGAAAAACCTGGAAGCTCTGGACGGCCGTGAAACTGGTAGGTCTTGGGTTCGAATCTCGCGAGTGCGGGATCGTGGATGCGCACTGTTGAGGAGTCCCATCAGTCAGCGACAACGTAGGACCAGGCACATATATGCATCGGTCCAAGTTGCCATACCTCGTTAGCACAACAAGATCAACACCGGATTCATAGTAGTTAATTTAGTGGTGGTGGTAGTATATAAAAGATAGGTTGTATATAAGGATATAGTATAGGAAGGAAGAACGTTATGAGGCAATTTTAATCTCAAAGTTTAAGGAAAGATAAAGAGTGTATACACCTACGCTGTTGTGATCGATTCTAGTCCATGTCACCTAGAGTCTCCAACCATTGGTTACGATAGTCACACGAACCCCAACTAAGTAGTCTGCATCTGTCAACATGGCTCAGACCAGAAGTTAGTGACTTTGTGGACGGATGCCATGTTATGGTTTGGCCGCCCCTAACTCTCTTCCAACAATCCCCTACACTAGTCATCATAGAGCGTCGTGGTAATCGGTGTTCAGGCATACGTAACAAGTAGCCCAACCATCTCAGTCGATGAAGATTCATCACCTCATCAACTGATTTACTCTGTGTCTAACCTCACTATTACTTACCCGGTGATCCCGACAGATGCGAGCAATATTTCTAAGGCATCTGTGGTCAAATACTAGTAACCTACGAGTATCTTCTACTCTTAATGGCCATGTTTCGCAGCCATAGAGTAAAACAGAACGAACTGCTGCGCAGTATACTCGTCCCTTAATTGATAGACGGATATCTCGTCTTCGCCATAGGTGACGTAAGTTGGCAAAAGCCAAACAAGCTTTTTGAATCCGTGCTGAGATTTCGTCAGACACCAACCCATTAGGGCTGATCAGACTTCCAAGATAAGTGAAGTTGTCGACGCGTTCGACTACTTCACTCCCTATCCTTAGTTTAGGTGTTGACGCAGGGCAGTCGTGGAGTAACAATTTACATTTGGATGGGGAGAAACGCATCCCAAACATCCTGGCATTATTACTGAGTTCCAACAGAAGACTCTGCATTTTGTCAGTGTCTTCACCAAACAGGACTATGTCATCTGCGTATTCTAAGTCGACAAGTGAACCTCCTGGTAGAAGATCAATTCCTGAAAATTCAGTCGACGAGAGTGTTATTTCCAGCAACAGGTCTATAATGAAGTTAAACAAAAATGGGGATAGTGGACAGCCTTGACGGACACCACTTTAGGTTGTAAAATCATATGACAGTTCGCCATAAGCTCTCACTCGACTGGTAGTGTTCGAGTAAAGAGCCTTCACAAGGTTTATGTGCTTTTGAGGTACACCTTTCAATGACAGACACTGCCATAGAACCTCTCGGTCTACAGAATCAAGTGCTGCTTAGGAGTCCCATAATAAGACAAAACGGCCGTCCAGTGCTTCCAGGTTTTCGATGGTAGTCTAGCTTCAATTGACTCATGATTTCAACTATGAAAATACTGAAATATCCACAAAAACTCCTTCGAATTTAACTTTACTGTATAAATCTCTAAATAAAACTAAAAAGTGATATTGTAATGAACAGAACACAACTGGGGGACAATCGAATGTATTTAAGCAAAGATTACAGACTATCTCAGTAAATTCTGATTACCAAACAATGAACAGTCGATTTGCAAATTAACAACCAACTGTTTCAATCTTCACTGTTTCTTCTCTTATTCCATTGCTCATGCATTTTCCAAACGATTGCGCTTCATTTCATTTGTTTCCTCACCGGTCTTCTGCGAAAATACATTCTATGTCTGACCCACACCATTTACTACTTATATGGATATAAGTAGACCACACCACAATGTGACGTCCATTTCACACAGCATCACAGAAACACCAATAAAGAGTATTAGAATGTGCTTCATGAAAACGAAACTAGAAAATATCGTCGAAAAACAAAATAGGGATAATCATGTTCTAAAATCAGAAATATAAAGTAGTGTAGAAATAAAGTTCAAGTAAAAAGAAGAAACCAAACTAAGTTTTATTCAGTTAGTAGGATGTATCGTATGACTATGGAAAGTATGGTAGGGACATCAATGACTTTTTTCCAAATTAATAACATTTTAAACTTATAATACGCTCCCAAACAATCTAGTTATTTATAAGCAAAGATGAACAGTGGCTAGCAGTGGAATCCAGGATGCGCGTTTCGTCCTCTTTGGGACTCGTCAGCTGGATGTACCTACATCACAGAGTTGATGTTCACTCTGGGAACTCGAACCCAGTACCGTTCGCTTCAAACGCCATTGCGTTATTCCAGAATAAACATCAACTCTGAGATGAAGGTACATCCAGCTGACGAGTCCCAAATAGGAAGAAACGCGCGTCCGGGATCCCACTGTCCATCTTTGCCTATAAAGCTTGTGACTTCAGACAATATTGAGGATGCACATATCCCAATAAGAGACTAATCAAAGGCAGTCATAAATAAACAACTGTTCAACATTTAAGTTTCTTTATTGGTGAAATAAGTTGGTACTTTCACGAAGATTCTCACATTTTATTTAATTGGATATGACAATTTAAAAAATGTTTTCAGCTCACTAGCTATTTGTGTATTATAAAAATATGTACAATCACATTACATCTACAACAATACTGTTCAATATGATTTTAAATATCTTTTGTGTATACCTACTCAATTTATTCTACAGATTGGGAAGCAGTTGTTAAACTATCTGATGGATTCAATGGAGCTGATCTACGTAACGTTTGCACAGAAGCTGGTAAGTTTTACAGTAATTATGCTGTCGTTTACCACTCTTAAAATTTTTTGAATATACCATTTATTTAGTATGATCACTAGAGCTGATTTATTACAGTATTTGGAAAACATCTTCACCGCTCATTTCATGTAGGATTCGTATTTACCCTACACTTGGTAAGGTGACACATTGAAAGCGACATTCGGTAGCCCGATATATTTTCTCAATCAAGTAGTTAGTTGTGGTATTAGCGCGTAGCACATAGTGTATCAGTTTACGGACACCAACCGTCACAATAACTAGAGTAAAGTTTATTCTCCAAACTTTAATCCTGTTGACCCTAATTGCTAATATAAAGGGGAAAATATTTGGAGAACATTCAAGATACCCACCACAAACTTCAAGCTTTCACACTACGTATTTATGTACAAATAATACGTCACAAATAAGTGTACACTGTACTTATCCTATCTTTTGTTTTGCTTATAATGACACTTTTTTCAAAATCATGTTCTCCACTGTCTTCAAATGTCATGTCGCGTATCTATTGTTAAGTTTAATTGATTAGCTCAACAATTACTGACTTTCACTGAGTATTGTTTGTTTGAATCTTCCCATTGATGCTTTAGGACTGCAACAGGCCAGCCTCTTATTGGCATATGTGCATACTGTGCGTATTGCCTCGATATAGCCTAAATTCACAAGCATGGTAAGCGAAGATGGATAGTGGCTAGCAGTGGAATGGAGGACGCGCGTTTCGTCCTATTTGGGACTCGTCAGCTGGATGTACCTGCATCTCAGAGTTGATCTTCACTGTGGGACTCGAACCCAGTACCTTCCGTTTTAAACGCCATCGTGTTATCTACTCGACCACTGAGTCCTGATAGCCACTTGCTTGTGCAATGAAATGTAGTTTGAATTCACTTAGTATTGTTTGTTTGAATCTTCCCATTGACGAGTCTCAAATAGGACGAAGCGCGCGTCCTGGATTCCACTGCTAGCTGCTACCCATCTTTGCTTACAATTCCTTACTTTGTTCATAATTTACAATTGTGTAAATCTAACATAGTACCAGAGCTTGTCTTTCGCAAATGTTATTTAACCTTATTATTCTTTGTTTTTATTTTGATCAACATAGGTATGTTTGCTATACGTGCAGAGCGAGATTATACAATAGAAGAGGACTTTATGAAAGCTGTACGCAAAATAGCCGATGCAAAGAAATTAGAAACAAAATTAGATTATAAACCAGTCTGAATTACTGACCAAAAAAAGTTATTCAACAAATATTGATTTTCAATAAAACAAACTTTCTTTTATTAATCAACTTATTAAAGTGTGTTTAACCAATAATTACTTGTATATTTTGGTTGTTATGTTTGATATAGTACAAGGTAAAATAGAAAATGTAATTTACTGGTCATAATTTCATCTTTTTCAATCTAGTTAATGTAATCAAGTTGTATTGATTAATTAAGGCTTTATCATGGTATTTCATATATGTTCCTATGGGAATGACTAAATTAGAATTGTGTGCAAATATCTCAATCCAATATTATACTAAATTGATATGCTGAATAAACATTAACTTATCAAGATTATATATCTTTAGAATTTGTGAAGATATAGTTATTATCATCTACTGCTTCTACCGATGAGGGACCGTCTTATTATTAGGGTGAACACGATAATTGTTATTGTGATGTAGCAACCCTATGTAGATGACATTTGGTTACATTACCTTTAGAAACACTATAATAAATAATAGAATTTACCTGATTGTTTTTGATATATATGCGTTGAAGTGTGATGACGTGCTAATCATTTAAACTGTCTAGTCACATGATATCTGATCTTAATATTTCCGACTCATCAATTGAAATTATTCAGCTTAAGAATAACAGATATCTGACCAATAATTATGTTATGACTAAACAGACCTCTTTACTAAGGCCCCCAAATGCCCTGGTACGGCCGAGAGTGGGGAGAGTTAGCTTTCCATTTTGAAATGCTCTCACATGGCCACGTGCATACAACCACTGCCTTCTCGCGGCATTACTGTTGTTTACGAAATTGAGAGAATGAAAAGCGAATGTCCACCGGGTTGGTGGGGATGCATCTCCTCACGATGCTCTACTGCCTTGTGGGCCAGACCCTTAGGTCAAAGGCTCGGGGTGTGGTCCCCTAAGAAAACCACCTGGGCAGTATCACAGCTCTCACACAAATCAAATGAGATTTGTGCGGCGTATACGTACCTGGTACTTCCCACGAGCTATTCTCTTTGGTAGGTTTCTTATATCGACGCCAAACTAAAGGGGTCATAACTAGTAAACAAATAAAGGGACATTACAAACTTTAAAAAAAATTGATAATCATTTTAATGCACCTCAGTCTTCAAGGCTAAAAACTGGGTCTATTGAGATAAAATAGTGGTCAACAGGAAACCCTGGACCCGGGTTTCGTGCTACTTGGCACTCGTCATCAAGGTGTACTTGTAATGTTGAGGGAACTGGTGCTCCCTGACGGATTCGATCCCGTGTCAGTCGACTTCACAGTCAGAGACGTTACCACTAAGCTACTCCTGTAGGACTGAGATGTGATCACGCATGACATTGATCACTGGGTGGTGATCAATGTCATGCGTGTCAAGTTCTTCTTAGTGCCGATCGAATACTAAGTCTAATATTATTATAAATTATACGCGACTAAACTTACTGAAACCAACTTTTAGTGCAAAGTATTCTAATAAGAATGAATTACAATTCAAAACATTTAGAAGAGGTATCTCAAGTAAATATTATTATTATACATTATTGATCATCTATTTACATTCTCTTGTATATGTTCATAATATATATCAGTTATTTGGTTGGACAGAACAGTTTTTTTTGGGGTTTAAATGAATTGAATAAAATTTTTTTAGAAAATACGTAGTTTTTTCTCTTTCATTTGTTTATTTTGTATATTTACAATAGTTCGTTCATTCTCTTTTAATTGTATTAATTGAGATTGTAAATCATTAACTCGTTGTTGTGCTTGTTTTACAGCTAAACGATCTCGTCCTTCATTTCTCTTGACTGCATCTTGTGCTTTAGAAATTTGATTATGCAATCGATTAATTTGTTCATGTGTATGAAATAATTTACGTTTTAGAATGCTTTCATTACAATTTGTAAGAGAAATTTGAGATGTTACGGTATTCTTTGTATTATTATCATTGTTACTATTATTAGGATGTGTTGGATTTTGATCATTTCTACTGGACGTCGATAATAATGCCATATTAATTAGTTTAAAAACGCTCCCACTATGAGAACAAACATGGCTTTGTGGTGTTTTACTTGAATTTTCTACGGCTTTATCACGGCATGCAATGTTTTTTATACGTTTTCGAGATAACACAACATTGTCTAGTGAAGGTCGATGATTCCATTTGACATTATGCACTTGATACTTTTCAAGATTAGTGCATACAGGAGATTGACGACCTTGGTGACAGCGACCAAGTCCACCGTAACCTGGATAACCCATGCTTGCTAATAAACGAGAGCCTATTCCTCGAGTGTGTGCTTCCCAGTCACCAATGGAACTCTGTTTGTCTTCTTTATTAACATTGGGATATTCCTTATCATTATCTAAATTTGGTGCTTGGTCTGGTAAAAGCGTATTACCGAAGACAAACTGAACTCGTAAACGACGTTTATCATACTGGAAAGAAAAAAAATAATGAAGAGGCTTTTTTACTACTAGAAAGAATAACACATTAAACATGAAGAATATTATTTATGATACGGTTTTTTGTTATATATATAACATAATGTAGAACGCGAAGTGCTGCTTAGTATACTTGTTCTTTGGTAGGCAGACGGATATCTCACCTACAGCGCAAGTTGGCAAAGGCCAATTGAGTGATTGTTTCATGTCCGCTTCAAATTTCCGGGCACACAAAGACTTCACAGCAGTCTGTACTCCCTTTAACAGGAAAGCTAATTTATAGTCCATGTCATGTACGGTGTATTCTGTAACTTCCAGACTTCATATGTAAACAACTACAATTTGAAGTTATAAGTAATAGAAAAAGGTCTTGAAACATAAAATGTAAAAGAGCATACATTAACGAACCTGCGAACATGACTGCGATTCAGTCGTCTGTCCACCATTGATCAGTTCGGTGGAAGGCCGAGCATACGAGGTAGTAGAATCCAAATAATCATTAGAATCTCCTGAATCAGTAGTTGATGATGAGATATCACTATCTACAGAAACATCAGAGTCAATATCATCATCATTTTCTAATATATGAATACACTCTAGCGGCAAACTAGTTACTTTATCCTCCAAATTTCCGTACGATTGACGCTTCACTGAATTCTTTCCAGGTTGACTTTTAACATGACCCCATTCAATAACACAAGTGCCTGATTCAAAATCTGTTTGAAGAAGCCTTGCATAATGCCATAAAGAATTGTGATCACTGTTACGATCATTAGCTAGGCATGGTTGACCTTCCTGTAGATATTTTTCTGTATCTGGTTCATACCATTCTCCAATATCCTTTGAGAAGAAAAATCATAATATATGATTACTTCAGATTTGCATAGTTACAAATCTTCATATTTTGTGCGCACTAAGCAGCTGTAACAAAATTAGATGACACATTTACTACGTAATTTAAAATTGTAAATGAAATCACATATACAATTTTGTGATATCAAATTGATTTGTAAAGACAGGATCCCTAATTAATCATCGCACTTTTAAATATGACAAGGTGTGTAGGATTTGATGGTTTGATGCAAAGACAGACACTACAAACATTTACATCGGTAAAATTAATACAATGATAAAGAGTGTAGATGTAACATTGTAATATATTGCTTCGATCCGTCAGTTAATCATACCTGTCATTTTAAATAACTAATAAATCAAGCAATCGAAAGCATAATGGTGTCATAGTCATACCTGAACCATTCATACCAACTTAGCTTGAGATAATTAACCCTGTACGTTTGAATAGGTATTTACATTGAAATTAATTAGAAATAAACAAATGGGGAGTTCTGGAAATGGATTTATTGATATTTATTTATTTGAACACATAAATATTGGTACAAAGGCCACCAGATATATATGCGCTACACAAATCAAATGAGATTTGTGTGAGGGCTGTGATACTGCCCAAACCGAAACAGGTGGTTTTCTTGGGGGGCCACACCTCGAGCCTTTGACCTAAAGATCAGATCCATAAGGCAATGGAGCATCGTAAGGAGATGCAGTCCCATGGTAGCCAGTGACCAACGATTGATTCATACGCCATTTGTTCCTCCAGAATACTGGATCCCATGTACACCATTGGTTTGGAATTAGGGTTTTCCAACTCCCCTAGATGGACTTTCCGTGTCCACCAGAGATTTATTGATGAATGATTAATACAAATTATTAACTAAACGCAGGTTTATGTACTCGGCTTTGACCCATATTGTGTGTGTAATGGTTAATGATATCAAACAATAGCCTAAGTGGACTAAGATTCAAAGTCAGGACTTATTGCTTGAAAGTTAAGTCATCTTACAACTAAGTCATCGCTTCAAGTGCGATTTCTATTAACTAGTTATGATGAATATCATCCAAACAAGTTGAAACAACTTTTTAAGTTGTAGAGTACATTATGTCAAACAGATAAACTATGAATTTGACACAAATACACCTGTGACCACTGACTGAAGATTGTCGAATATAAGATTGAAACCATGAAAATCATGTGGATAATTTTAAAAAAAACTTTAAAATTCTTCTAACTTCAATGGAATGCAGTGTCATATAGGAATCAAACCGGTAACTTATCAAAAAAATATATGTGCAATGATAACGCTTATACAGCCTATTTACTCACTTCAATGTTGAAAATCTTTCCATGAGAACGAGCACAACGTATGCCCCGATGACATGTTCCAGTCTCGAAAAATCTTTCACAAGGTATTTCACTAAGACGTGTTGGGTGAGCCAATAGTACTCGTACTCGATCTGGGCTGTTTCCATCATGGTCTACAACTGAAAGGATTAACGCATTTTGCCGAATAAATTTTCCAGTGGAAGTCCATCCAGGAACACTACAACGTTGTCCAACTAAAGACTGTTCATTAATTGTTGATTCATCTGTTTGAAGTGAAGATTCTTGAACTTCATCATCTTTCTCTTGATTATCAGCAATTATAGATCCAATTTCAGCTAAAAGTTGTGCTTTTCTACTATTCAAAAGTTCATGTTCTTTTAATTCAATCAACTCTTCCAAATCTTTTTTTAGATTTAATAAATCGGAACATTTTAACTGATTATTTTCTTCTACAAGGCATGTATTTATTTGATTAAGTGTTAGCTTTAGATTTTCAATCTCTTGTGATATTCCAGTGACTGACTGTAAAAAAATAATGCTATTCCAAAGTACATAATAATGAAATGATAAATAAATAAAAAATACTTTATAAATACATCAGTCAGTCACAACGTAGAACTTCGTATGTACATCAGTTTGAGTTGCTATACCACATTAGCACAGAGATGCAGTTGTCGACGCATCAAATCCCATAGTGGTAGAAGTAGTAAGAGTATAAGCAGTAATGTGGAAGATTAGGGTTTGAATATGTTATTGCAGGATTATAATCCAGTGAAATATATATTCATTTGAATGATTGAAAATAAACAGCTTATCACATTCTAATTTCTCATGTTAGATACGCAATAATTTGTGGCAAGTAACGCTAACACCTGTGTGTTGTACATCTATGAACTAAAATAAATATCAAGTTACTAAATATATAATAAATCTCCTTCTCCAAAACTTTAAGTCATTAACTTTATGAGTGTTAATGTTACTATCTAACTGAATAAATCAAAGACAAATTCATCATTCTGTAAATGGTTAGTAAGTTTTATATCATACGGAAAACTGAATTAATATTTGACAGATTACTAAAGTAGTTGGAACTGAGCTTATATATATAAACATTCCATGTGAATATACTAATGTCAACTTATAACAAATATTAAGTGATCTATACAGCTAAACTTGTTAATCACACAGAACAGTATTACTCTATTATACAGTACACTGTTATATGATAAACGATTTATAAATTCAAATAACTTAATTTATCAGAAGGGGTTTGGCAGAGATTTTAGTAATTTTATATAGTTGAGATCATGAGTTAATTGAAGCTAGACCACTATGGAAAACCTGGAAGTATTGGACGGCCGTTTCATCCTATTGTGGGACTCCTCATGTGCTCACTAGTGACTGGCTCCATGAGGTAATTCCTGGAGTTTTAGCGAGAAGCAGTAACCAATGGAGTTCAACCAGGTCTGTTGGGAGATATCAACTCACTGATGACATTGGTGAATGGTTTCTCAATTTCGTGGATCAGTTGAACTTAGAAATTAACACCGTTGGCTCAGTGGTCTATCGGTTAAATGCTCTGGCGCGAGACTAGCAGGTCCTGGGTTCGAATCACGCGAGGCGGGATCGTGGATGCGCACTGGTGAGAAGTCCGACAATAGGACAAAACGGCCGTCTAGTGCCTCAAGGTTTTTCATGGTGGTCTAGCTTCAATTGACTCATGATCACTACTCTTTAAAACTTAATTTATGTATTATTTTACAATAATATTGAATAATAAATTTTCGACTAGATCATAAAAGTTCTAATCAAAAGTCACAATATAATTTTAATTCTGTACGTTATTTGACAATTGAATCATTAATTATTTCACTGAATCATATGAAAAGAGATAAACACATATTTACTAGAGCATTGTTTAAATAGTAATCAAATTTTCTTTTGATCAAAATCCATCATCAACCGAACATAGAATATTCACTTAGTATTGTTTGTTTGAATCTTCCCATTGATGCTTAGGACTGCAACTGGTTAGCCTCTTATTGGCCGTATGTGCATACTGTGTGTATTGCCTCGATATTACCTTAATTCACAGTGGCTAGCAGTGGAATAGAGGACGCGCGTTTCGTCCTATTTGGGACTCGTCAGCTGGATTTACTTCCATCTCCGAGTTGATGTTCACTCTAAAATTCGAATCACGTCCTGAATTCCATTGCTAGCCACTATTCATCTTTGCTAACATAGAATAATATGATGTTAGTCATCATCTTACAATATAATTGGATGATTGACAAGGTCATATTGACAAAAGATGATATACATGCACGTATAAATAGTGCAAGAGAGAGGTTTATGTACGATAAAACTACAAACGAAAAAATCAAAAAGAAATACGCATGTATAATAAGTAATTTATCTATTAAACACAAAACAGATTACAATGTTAGATTAAAGGTGATAGTAATAATAATTATCATTACTATCATAATAATAATAATAGTAGTATATACACATATATATCTATATAAACGCATTAATGAATGAATACTATTTGTTATAAATAATTATTATATACATAAAAGAGAATGTAGACAGTACTAACGAATGCAAACTACCATACATAGATACATGCAATTGGTGTTCTTATTAATTTCAATATTACAGAACATAATTATGAACTTTATATATATGCACACACACACACAATAATGAAGAAGAAGAAGAAGAAGTAAATATGATTAGGTAATTAGTTATACAAGTAGACAGAAAAGAAAAAAACACATCCAATCCAATTATACACACACAATAGTTGATAGAAAGGAAATCCTAAAAAATTTAACAAATAGAAATATTATTTATACATAGCAACATTAAACTTTAGCCATTTCATATATGACATGTTGAAAAACATCTATGTAACGTCATATATATATATATATATATATATATATATATATATAATAAAAATGCTGCATGGTAACACGACATATATAACACTGTACAATTTTATTTACTACTGAACATTGAAGATGTTTGAATTAGATCTAAAAATTGACAAGGAAAAAAAGAAACATTGAATATAACAAATAAATTATAGGGAATAAATAAATGAATAAATAGAAAGGCCCTTGAATGCCCTGACCGACAGTGGGGAAAGTCCGCTCTCCTTCTCAAAATGCTTTTACATGACCACGCGTATATAGCCTTTGCCAAGGAAGTCCTACTCACCGCCTTCTCGTGCGGGGGTGTTGTTCACAAAAGTGAGAGGATGAAAAGCGAATGTCCGGCGCTGTAACCGGGTTAGTAGACACGGCAAGTCCACCTAGGGGAGTTGGAAAATTCTGATTACAAACCAATGGTGTACATGAGCTCCAGTATCCTGAAGGATCGAATGGCGTATGAATCAATCGTTGGTCACTGGCTACCATGGAACTGCATCTCCTTACGATGCTACACTGTCTTGTGGGTTAGACCTTTAGATTAAAGGCCCCGGGTGTGACCCCTTAAGAAAACCACCTGCTTCCATTTGGGCGCCCGGGCAGTATTACAGCCCTCACACAAATCAAATGAGATTTGTGAGGCGCATATGTATCTGGTGGCCTTTGTACCAATATTTATGTGTTTAAATAAATAAATAAATAAATAAAAGTTAATACACTGTGTTATAAAGTAATAAGGGGGAAGATATTTTTTTAAAACACACACACTTGGATTAAGATTACTGAGAGATGAAGTTGAGAGAAAATTTCCTCTCTTTTTAAATTATAAATAACCTTATGAACAACTGGTTGGGGTCCGCGTGACTATCGTAACCAATGGTTGGAGACTGTAGGTGATATGGCTCAGAATCTATCACAATGGCGTAGGTGCATACACTCTTTATCTTTCTTTAAAAGATTAAAATTAAGATTAAAATTGCTTCAAAACGTTCTTCCTCCCTATACTATATCCTTATATACAACCTATCTTTTATATACTACCACCAATAAATTAACTATTTCTATGAATCCGGTGTTCATCTTTTTGTGCTAATGTAGGTATGGCAACTTGGACCGATGCATATGTGTGCCTGGTCCTACGTTGTAGCTTACTGACTGACTTATGAACAACAACAACACAATTACACTATTAACTATCATCTTGAGTATTTACAAAATCTCAAAACTAATATATTTCAATCATAACTGTCAACTTGATTTGACGAATGGGTTTCTTTATTATCATGATTATTGACTGAAACATTTGTTTGGTTGGTCGAAGATTAATGTAATTAAGACAAAAAACTTACGGTATAATATAAAGTAAAGACGTATTCACTATTCATTTACATTGAGATACTTTTTTTAAAAAAAAACAAAGATCTCCAACAGTACAACATACAACCTTTTCAAAAACGGATGAACAGGTTAGAAAATGTAAGTCTGGAAATATTACAATCCTTTTGTGTTATAAATTTACAATGAAAACAGATGGGCTTACAAAAGTGTGTCATTTGTCTTAATTATTTGAATTTCGCATTTGTTAGTCACGATTCAGAGTTTTTTGGTCACCAATATACAACAAGTTCTTTTTTAAGTTCAGAAACGGGAAGTGAAGACAGTTCGAAGACTTGTATATAGCCTGCCAGTAAATAATGATCTAAATTTGATCAAGACAATAATCTAATCAATGATCAATAATAACATTAACTAGGTAGTGATGTGAATTTGATTTAGTGATCAGTTGCTACAGGATTGCATTTCCTAATGTCGTTACATTTTCTTTCAGATTGAATATTAAGGACAGGAGGGCTCAGTGGATGATTTCTTTAAAAAAAAATATGCATTGGTTTGTATTCCTGGACAGTGTCGTGTCTCTTTTTAAATATAAACTTCAAATATTATCAAGCGTTCCACACTTTGATTGTACACTGAGACACATATCATACATTGTAATTTTAAATGGATTTCAAAAAGAACTGACGAAATACATTGAAATCACTCAGAATTTCTAGCTAAATAAATGATAAGTATTAAATATGAAAACATACCTGGAAATTCATAACTACCGAACTACGGAATAATTACTGGTCCCAACATTACATATGTTTCCTTGAGAACTCGTTCCTGGACAGCTGCTTGGTGAATTTTTAATTAGGGAAGTTAGTGATTTTGAGCCTCTAGTAATTGCAACGTTATTTCGACGTCGAACTTGTCGGACTATAGGATTATGGGTCGGAAATCTTCGTGAAGATCTCCGTAAGGTAATTGGAGTAGATGAAGTATTGGAATCCAAATTGGTTTTCGACGATGACGGAGACAATGATTTACTAGAATTATTGGAACTGTCTTCTAGCTCTTCAATTAGATTATGAATCCCAGGACTGAAATGATGTACTAAATTTTTGGTGACGGAACTTATCCGCTGAATAGAGTCCAGTAGGTATTTTTTACGTTGAGAAATGCCTTTGATTAATTCAATAGCTATATTAAACTGACTAGCCATCTCGGATTCATCTGATTTTAATCCAGACTCTACAGATTTCACTGTTTCACTGACACCTTGAGATATACTAAGATGTGATGACGGAACACTCTGAGTAGAAATGCAATGAAGCTGGTCGGCTAAATCGGTCTCCATATTTTTTATGGTTTCTAATGTTTGCAACTCCGTGTATGCCTAAAACCACAGAAACGGAATTTCTATTAGCAAAAAAATTTAGGATTATGAAAACTTGGCTTCAATTCATATGCGCAAACTGTCACTCCCAAACTAACATAGAGCCATAAGAAACCGTTATCTAACTGTGTATGGATACCAAAGATGCGACTTACATAGATTTGAAATAAAACTATGTCTCAACCATAGCGTTAAGGAGAGAACAAGTGATAAAAATTACTTCGTTCATTTTGATCATTAGATGTGAATACTAGTTGATTCCATGGATATTGAGGACTTAATAGACAGACGATATATGTGAAGAATATGTTAAACATAAAATAGATTGGGCAAAAACTCCATTTAAAACACAATCTTTGTGTGGCCGACACGCTCAACTACTTCAATCCTCCATGACCGGTCCTGAGGCACTATTTAGAGTTAGAGGAATCTCTCTAGACTATTTTTGGACCACTTAAACGGTTCAGATGATTATATATTTTGCCAGCATTTTAAACCGCGAACATTTATCCTTTGCGTACTCCAACTCGATAAGTCACTTGTATTTTTCCAGCAGGCTATCGATCATATAATGATGAACATAACATTTATAACTGACTTAGAACTTAGATAGTTTTATCTCAAACACGTCACCGACATAGTCATCCTTAAGCTCAGTTCGAAGAGATTTTATAGATAGATTTTTTTGTGAACAGTGAGACACAAATAAAAATGTACTCTCACCAGAGCATGATAAGAGTCTAAACATTCAATCTAGGAAGACAGTTTTCTACTGGCCTTGTCCTGTGATAACTGCTAGGGATGCAATCTCTGTTTCCATGGAGTTTACTTTCAGTATGGTATACAAATTTGCAAACATAAGTATCATAATCTTACCTTACCAATTAGTAAATATTAAGAGTGAGAACTTGGACTAACTTTAAATACAGTAAACAGCAGAGACAATGATTGGACGCAGAGTTTTAAGTGTTGAGCCACGAGTGAAAGCCAGTGGTAGATTTAGATTTGAATTAAGGGGTTAGCTCATGAACTATTGAAGTATATATTTCTATACGCAAAAGCTGGTTTGTCTGACAAATATTTCAAGTCGAATTATGAAAACAAGACTTTCAAAGATAATACCTACCAATAAATCTAAATTGTCAGCACAATGAAGAACTCGCCAACCTGTAATATCCAACACTGATGTGATGGTTAAAGGAAATCTAACAAAACCGGAATCTTCTTGCTCAGCACGTACCGCTAAAATGTCTTGCACTAAGCGTTTCGCCTCATTTGACTCATTATTAGGATTCAAACTATTCATATCTTTGACTCCTCCTTTACTCTGAATGTCAGAATCGGCATGTGACAAATTCGTGCCAGTAACCAAAGAGCGACGTCTGCGGCGAGTATTCTGCATATCACGTCGTGAAGAATCATCGAGATTGGCAGATTTGTGTTGTGGTTTTGTGCATATCTCAGAAAGACTGAAATATATGAGAGAAATAAGTTTATAATTCAAAAGATATGGAGGCAGAATAAATTATTCATAAACAATTTTGAAAAATAAAGATTCAATATGCATGGTTTGGAAAAGATACTTAGTCTCGTACTATCAATATTAAAGAAAGTCTTCCGCTCACTCATGAAATCCTGACAAGAAAAAGTTAGGTACATGCTTGGAAAAAGATGCTGTCTACCAAACACCTTAAATGGAAATTTCTGACGGCTAAAAACAGTGTAAAGCTTGTAACAGTCATCATTGACATACTACATATCAGTATATCGAAAGGAGAGCAACAGAGGTAAAAAACAAAGCGAAAGAGTAATGGCAGCAGTAGTGAAGAATCACAGTAAAAACGAAATAGATGGGATAAATAGAAACTGTAAACGTAAGATACAGAATGTAGTGTTTAGGACGTAGAGTAAAATGATTTAGTACCACATCCTTGCAGTTACCAACCAGAAAACACGGACCTCTTCGTACACAGTGACTCTTCCAAGCCCTAAGCTGGAGTCATCAAGGCAAAAGGAAATGAGACGGACATCAAAATAATGAATAGCACTTGAAAGCAACTGAATAGGTGAGTTCAGGTCAGAGTTGGTTGGAGAATCCTGGTCAACGGTCCATGTTTCACGTGGGGCAACAAGCGTAAGAAAGTAGAGTAAATCTTCATGAACTGATATATTTATGCCCTTCTGAACACCTCCAAATCTTCGAGCACTTCTACTATGTAACCCTGTACATGACGTGATGACATAATATGAAAAATAAGTGTCCTACCCATAATAGTCAATGAACAATTACATCCTTATTAGTTAACTTTCAACTTTTAGTTACACTAAACTTGGCATAGGTATTCCTTATTGGGTGGTTTCGCTATAGCCAATTAGTCAGTCACAACGTAGAACTTCGTACGTACGTAGATCAGTTCGAGCAATAATTTTGAAGACAACTAACCTAATGTGAAATGTAACACCTTGTACCAATACACACTTATTCCAAGTCCCATGAGGTCTATGATTAACTAATTGATTAGTAATTTCAAAAGTTTTGATTACCAGCTTAAAGATGATCATCAAAGAAAATAAGGGTGTAGTTATGCTCTTGAATATGATTAGGATTTAGTCATCAAATACCAACCGATTTTTTTTACGTCTATGACCAATACCAAAATAAGTTAAGACATAAAAAACATTGATATCTCTACAATGAATTAATCAGTAAAATTATAATTACTAGTTGATAGAATTTTATGGCTCCCGAAGCTTCTAGGAGTGAACCCAAATTGAAATTTGTGAATTGAATATAACATCTGAACCTTTATACAATTTTCGAACGAATCTGAAAATCCCTAACGTCTATAACGACACATTTTTAGTACACAATTTATATGTTTAGCAATACAGGATGATGGATGTTTATCATCTACTCTTATTGGGTCATTCGACTGTATTTGTTTTTGCAACCATTTTGGTACATGTTCACCCACCCTAATTTTCAGATCACGATTGCTCCTCCCTATGTATGTGTGACCACACACACATTTAAATTGGTAAACGCAGTGGGATGTGACACAATCCTTTTCATGTCTTTTAGGTTTTGAATGAAGCATGGACCTCATTCTTTCCTTGATTATGACTTGCAACAAAACGTATTGTGCTGCGAAAGTCATAATCAAGGAAAGAACGAGGTCCATGCTTCATTCAAAACCTAGAAGACATGAAAACGATTGTGTCACATCCCACTGCGTTTACCAATTTAAATGTGTGTGTGGTCATACATACATAGGGAGGAGCAATCGTGATCTGAAAATTAGGGTGGGTGGACACAATTTATGACAGGAAATCTTACATAAAAAAATAACAGTATTATCAAAACATGAAAACATAGGATATAGGTAATTAAAACTCACCTGAGAAAGTGAGAGCTCTTAGAACGACAAGGAACACTCAACCTACTATTTGAAAATCCGCACTTTGGATTGATTAACGGCCTTGGAGGTCTTCCATTAAGTATCCATTCACGACCATCAACAGGGTCTACAGTCCATAAGATACCAGCTTTTGATAATTTATTGCTACTGTGGAAATCATTTTTAATGGTAATCTCATCAGCATTTTGACATTCATTTGGTTCCTGTTCACCCTTAATTTTCTTACGTGGTATATTGTGAATAGGTGTAGTCAACTGTTTTTCATTTAAAATCTTATTACCACAATCAGTGAAGTCATTGTTAAGTTCGGAATTATCTCTGCTGGTAGTAGGATAAAAGTAATTGTGTTTTTCATTTGAATTCAAGAAGTTTCCAGCATTAGTCTGTTTTGAATCATCTATGTTATTATGTAACCATGAATTTGAAAGAGATAATTCAGAATGGGTTGAAATGGGATCAGACTTCTTCAGATCTGTATTATTCACATGGCTAACATCAGTCGTTGATTCATTTTGAGACTGCTTCATGGATGAAACAAGGTGATGTAAAAGAGGATTCGATTCAGAGGCACATCGTAGTGGTTTACTAGCCGGATTAATGTACTTTGAATCTTCGGAAACTGACTTGGGAACCTAGAAAAGATATTTCAAAATTTTAGTAGCTTGATTCCATATGTTTTACGAAAATACAATGTTGTACAGCACTATATTTTATCAGGTATTTCAGTCCCTGTAAACCATAATGTACCCTGGCAAACAACAAATCAACAAAAGAATTTTAAATATTGACAATATTCTGAAATTTGTTTTGTTAAAGTACTAACATGCACATAACTTTTAGATCATTAAAAATACCTGAATTTTAGTTCAACTTACATCGGATATTGAATGTAGGCTAGTTGGAAGAATATTATGACTAACAACTTGTAGACTTTTAGATTCTTGGTTTTCAGTCATGACAATAGGACTAACATTTGGTTGAGGAGATCTAAATCGCACCTGCAGAACACCGTTTGTTGATCCGGAAACTACAACTGGACTTATGATACTGGAAGCAGAACATGTTGACTCACTTCCTGAACTAGAATTCGACGAAGTAACAGTAGTAGTGCTTAAAATCGGATAAACAGAGGTGGTCAAAACATACACTGCAGCAGTTTGTGTTTGATGAATATCCGAAGACTGTGAGCAATGTGAATTGGTTATACGAAGGTGTCCACCAGAAGATACCATCTGTGATGGAGATGTGACCATAACCACTGAATTATCACCTGTACTTCCACGAGTTCCAAGACTTCCAATAGATGACTGAAAGCAGGTAGTATTTAGTAAAATAGAACTGTTATTGGGAACAGAAGTGGTTGGGGTGGAACGTACTGACACTAAACGTATACCCATAAGTCCGCTGTTGGACGGACTGACGCTAGTTGCACAGCTGACGGAAATGGTTGTGGATGTATTCTGGAAAAAATAAGTGGACAACTTTCTGATTACTTTGTAGAAAAAACAATTTAAAACATCCTAGGAAATGGTTGTGACCGCTTCATCCATTATGTGTTCACAAAGAGAAAAAAATCGGTAGGAATTTGAATGAGAGAAGTGGATATTGTTGGGACAACGTAAAGAAATGTGTCTGAATTTTCTCAAATAAACAATAATCCATAAATCTGTAGACAACTAGTTCAAAAACACTCAACTCAACAAGTTAAACAGTCATACTAAATAATGAATGCGGATAAATTTATTAATCACCTAACTTGGCTACATGAAAACTATAAACTTAATGTCAGTAGTAGTCACCGTGATGATTCATCAAAATACTGGTGCTACTACTTGTTATGACTGAGGACACTACGGTTTATACGTTACGGTATGACAGAACGGAGACTAATAATGCTCGGCGCGAGGAAGGATAGTAAGATAGCAGATGAAGAGTTTACCGTGCACCAATCACAAATTTCCAACTGATCAAAATAACAAAAGCCATAATAAGATATATTTCGTTTAATTATCTAGCCATTAATTAAATTTAAATAGATCAAATTGGAAGTAGTTGACACTTAATAATCAATAATTTAGTGTAAGTATTACTTACTCACATTGTCAAACGCTTTCTCATAATCAAGGAAGTTAATGAATGATGACGAATTAGACTCAACTGATTGTTCAACAATGATCCGTAGTGTCGCGATTTGATTTATGCACGACCGACCCTTATGGAATCCGGCCTGTTAACCTCCAAGTTGGACGTCTATTAAGCTTTTCATTAGGTTGGTATCAGGGTAGATGCTTAAAATTTTGGTTAAAATCCGCGACGGGTGAACTTTGACAGAGTTGGAATTAAGACACTTTACTTTTCGATGACATACTATTTTGATTTGAAATGTAAATGACTGAATTCCAACTCAACGCTCGGTATGAGACCTAACTATCTGGGGTTCAATCATTAACAGAGTCATGGGTATTATTGAAGCTGATTCAAGACGGAAACTGTCTCAAAATAATGACTAAAACTCTATAAACCAATTAACCAGGAAACATTACTAATAACTTATTGAATAAACTATAGAAAAGTCATTTTAGTAGGTGTTTATGGACGGAACCCAGTAATCGAGTCTAGGTTTGTGAACTTTCATTTGAAACACCTATATGAAGGTTGGTGGTACCGATTGGTTGTATAGATTAAAATATGTGAAGCTGAACTTGAAGTTAAAACTTAATAATTAACAACAAAACATTTTACCCAAAAAACAATCGCTCCACTATGAAATAGTGTTAACAACTGTTACAAACATCATGCTGTGGGGTGCGCTACGAATGTAAGTAATATGTAGCAGGAATTGGAATAGCTTAGCCGGAAGATGATTGAAATAAAGAGGAAGGAAAACAGAAAGTGATCGGAACAATAACAGGATTGGAATAACGATACAGTATGTAAAGGACAACACAAGAAAAATTTACAAATAATGTATTTGATGTGTGATTTGCATATTTTACAAAGGCAGTGTAACTTTGCATAAAATAATAAATTGGTCTTCCCCACTATACTATTAGAAATACTCAAATATATCTAACAGTTTTCTAGCTTACCCGATAAACAGAATCAACTGATACAGGACCTGACTTGATAGAACTTCCTGAGATCTGCGGTGAGTGTGTCACCTGACAGCTGTACACAGGTTGTGCGAACTGATGTGGTTGAATAGTTGGTTTGGCCATGGCAACCAGGGTGGGTGTTGATGGTAATACGCTGCGACATCCCGACACTACAGAATTTAAACTAGAAGAATTTACTAGACTATTCATACCGACTGTAGTCGATGTGGTCGACGAGACAACCGAAACTGGAGTAATCATTACAGATGAGAAAGATGAAGCGAGTTGCTGCTTACGTGCTCTCTTTCGACTTGGTTGAGAAAAAATAGATGAAGTTGGGAGGCGATGAGAACTAATGCAAACAGAGTTATTTTGAGAAAAGTTTGAACGGGTATGCGATATTGAAGAAGTTGAAGCAGATATCGATGGCTGTAGAGGAGTTAATTTGGCTGGAGCAATATTGACCGGTAAAATATGCGGTACCACAGATGTGCTGGACGAGGTAGAAGATAACCCCGTGTTTCCGCTTAAATTGAATGGTTTTAAAAGCGATGTAGGACCCATAACCGTACTAGTATTTGGTATATATCCAACTGCCGAAGGTCCATTAGCCTATATGTCACATAAAAATTTAAAAGTTAGTCAGGTATAAACCATCGACAATTACCAAAGTATTGAAGGTGTATGTGTGTGTGTGTAACTTTCATAGTCTGTAGCTGTATGCTAACAATATTCTGAGAGCATCCAATGTAATAATGAAATATTTACTAAAAGCCACTATCTAAACAATATTGAAAAATTTTTACATTCCATTGGTTATTCAATATTATAGCAACGGGAGTAATCAATATAAATGTGATTGCTTTTCCTGAAATATCTCAAGTCAAATGAAAAACGGAAGCCGATTTCAGGTATTATTTTTGTTGGTATCAATCAAAACACATTTTTAACCACTAATCTATTTTGCACTATTATTAATTCGTGAGATCAGATGTAAAATTGATTGACACCCCCTACAAAGTGACTAACTTAACACATATCTTAAACAGAAATATATCCAGAAAGGAACCAAAACTTCAAAATTCAGAAATTATATACCTAAAGAGAAGTTACATAAAACTTGTGTTGTAACTACACGAAAGCATCACCCGATAAAATCAAACGCATGTCGTAACGTTGAGTGCAATAAAAAAACTGATCACAAAATCCGATTGATGCGCAATCGACATGATGCAACCTGACAATCGAGTGTTACAAAATGAGAAGGTATAAAGGTAATAAAATATTTTCAACTCCAGTCTATGGAGAATTTTTATTTGACAATTAAAATATGATTAATTACTTACGCGAACTATTAGTGGAGAAGTAGGATTGGAAGAATTTATTTGCCGGACAGGATTTGTAAACATTCCTGTAACGCTTGTACATGTTGTAGGAGTACTATGAACATTTGAATTTGCCAAGTTGAAGGCCAGCACTGTATGATTAGCTGCACTCAAGGGTAAAGATGGACCTGTATTTGATGAACTTCCAGAAAAACTTCGAAGAGACATCATCAAACTTGGATTTAAAGATGAAGAAGTCGCTATAGTTGACTGAACAGGTAAGCCAGATTGAGCTTGAACAATCAAGGATTGTGAAGACTGAATAGCAACAACATTACCACTGGAAGGAGACATGAACGAAACATTAGGACTCACTGTCAACCCTGACCATACACTACCTGTATTTGCTAAAGATGGTCGAGTTGGAAGTGCTCCAGTCTGAGATAAAGATGTCGGGAAAACGACAGCACTATTTCCAGAAGTGGATACAGTGCATGTGGATTTAGTAGTCGCGCAAACTGTAGATGGAGGTGTAATCAAACGAACAGTAGCAGATAGTGGTGTGGTAAAATTAACCAATTTCGCTGTAAGATAAAGGTATAAATAAGAATTTATTATTCTTATATATAATCACACTTTCCTGATAATTGTAATACAAATTACGGATTTATGCTTTTTTGTTGAGCACAGAAAAGTATATGATTGTTTTGAAAACAGTCATATATCCAGCTAACTTTCATAACAACCGATGGAGAGTATGGGATTCATGATGATAATGACCGATATTTCAACCAGTAACTCCAAGTAAAACATTTACAGGACGTACCTCAAAAATTGCAATCCAATTTAGTAATCGAGTATGAGTAATTTTTTTTGTTTCCTGAACCACACTTAGAGTGAGAAGTGGATATATAATACCTGGATTTCCAGACTAAAGTACGACAGTTCGACAATGTGGGACACAAGATGATCAAACTACTAAATTGTATCTCCTCTACTTGAAGAGATGTAAATATTAAAGGTCTAGAGTTTGGTGTAAAAATACTAGTACATTTCTTGATTTTTTTTTTGGGTATCTAAATGATAATTAATTTTTACAGAAATTTTGTGAAATGTTGAGTGTGACAGACGAACAACATTTGACAACTGACATTGTCAGATGATAGAACATCTTAGTACTCAGAGATAAATTCATGGAGAAGTGGCTTGATGGTCAATGCGTTTAACTTACGGCTAATAAGTCCCAGATTCGAACGTCACCCCATTTACTTCGACTTGGGCAACAGGGTAGAATAATTACTCATCACAATCAAGGTATGGCTTATATCTAAGTACCTGATGAATGGGTTTTTAGATGTGTTTACATAAGCTTCATATTCAAAAGCAAAACTTCGCGGCATTTCATTTTCTCAGACAAAGTAAACTTTGTAATTAATTCCTTATTTCACTCATTTTACTTTCTAAACTAAAAAAGATTAGATTACCTTTGTCAGCTAGTGATTAGTATGATCCCTAGATAAGCTATTTGGTAGTGCATTTGAAACCCTAAGAAATTATACTTTTGTAGACATTTGAACCCATATTAAAAGGCATTATCGTCAAGTTACGCATTTCGGAAAAAAGTGAAATCTGTAGAAATTAAGGGAAATACTAGACAAACATAGTTACATTTTGATGTTTGTGGAGACTGTGTATTTATTTGATCATGGAAAATGATAGAGGGATTCGATAAATTGATGAAACTGGAATCAGATGTACTCATCTTACTGGGAGATACAGTAGTAGTTGAAGTTGTTGGATTCTCTATCAAAGATGGTGGGTTTGAAAGGTTTTGAGATTTATGAATAAGTACACGTGGAGTTGAGCAGAGAGTAGAACTCATGAGCAAACTGCCGGATACAGAAGTCGGTGCAGGAAAATTTATAGCAGTCACACAATGTGATCTTTGAGACTGAAGTGGCAACGTAACATTTGTTGTAGGGGTTTCAAACACTAGAGGGCAGGCACTTGAATTCACTGTTGCAGTTGTAACGATAGAGCTACATTGAGTTGACGTATGGGTTGCGAATCTATAAAAGGAAAGCAACAGAAAACAAATATAAAAACTGCTACAATATTTCCAACTAGCCATGAAGTAATTCACAATGGAAACTTCTAAAGGCATAAATTTACGGAAAAAAGCGTCGAATACTACATAAATGCAATTCGCATGTATAATAAAGGAGTGCTACAAAGGGTAAAATACCTAACTCAATTACGGACTAGCTGTCTATTAGATTACTTTTGAATTAAGTTTAAAACACTGAAAATTTTCAGTAAGTGCAGTTTTTATTTATTAATTTAAACACATAAACAGTGGTAAAAGGAGACATGTGCCAAACAAATCACTCGACTTGTGTGAGGGCCGGGATACTGCTCGGGTGCCCAGACCGAATCAGCTGGTTTGCTTAGGGAGCCACACCCGGAGCCTTTGACCTAAAGTTATAGTCCACAAGGCAGTAGAGCAACGTCAACAGATACAGTCCCGTGGTAGCTGGCGACCAACAGTGGGTTCATACGCCATTTGTTCCCTCAGGATACTGGAGCCCATGTGCACCATTGGTTCGGAATCAGGGTTTTCCAACTCCTGTAGATGGACTTTCCGTGTCCACCAACCCGGTTAAGGCGCCGGACATTTGCTTTTCATCCTATCAATTTCGTTAACAACACCCACGCAACGAGAAGTTATTTATTTATTTATTTATTTTATTTAAACACATAAATATTGGTACAAGGAAGCACCAGATAAATATGCGCCACACAAATCTCATTCGATTTGTGTGAGGGCTGTGATACTGCCCAGGTGCCCAGACTGAAGCAGGTGGTTTTCTTAGGGGGCCACACCCGGAGCCTTTGACTTAAAGGTCTAGTCCACAAGGCAGTGGAGCGTCGTGAGGAGATGCAGTCCCATGGTAGCCGGTGACTAACAGCTGGTCCATACGCCATTCGTTCCTTCAGGATACTGGAGCCCATGTGCACCATTGGTTTGGAATCAGGGTTTTCCAACTTCCCTAGGTGGATCCTCCACATCCACCAACCCGGTTACAGCGCCGGACATTCGCTTTTCGTCCTCTCACTTTTGTGAACAACACCCCGGCCCGCCACGAGAAGGCAGTGAGCAGGGCTTCCCTGTCAGAGGCTATATATTCGCGTGGCCATATGAGAGCATTTCGAGAGGGAGAGCAGACTCTCCCCACTCTCGGCCGTACCAGGGCATTTGGGGGCACGCAACGAGAAGTCAGAGAGTAGGACCTCCCTGGCAGTGGTTGTATGCATGTGGTCATGTGAGAGCATTTTGAGATGGAGAGCTAACTCTCCCCATTCTCGGCCTTACCAGGGCATTTGGAGACCAGTAAGTGCAGGGTTAAAAATAATAGACTTTTCGATAGGTGACCAGTGTAATGATCTGATACTCGGGGTTTATTAAAACTTGACATACAATTTATGCAGTGGGAATGATGAGCTCAGTTAGGGATCACAGACAAATATTTAATAGGATGTCCCAAAGCTGGTTTCATGCGAACTAATAAACATAATCAAGCGGTATTTATCGTCATATTATACACTCATCCAATCTGGATAACTTAGTAAAAGCAACTTTAGCCATAAGATTGTTCGGATCCTCGAAGTATTAGTTTTTCAGAGATTTTGAAAATGAGTATTCATTACAGCTTTTGACCGAACATCTCAAACCAGCTAACAGTAAACAGAATGTATTATAATGTCGATCCACTTGGACCTGCGACAGTATTGTGGCTTGTTCGACACTACAGATCACATAAGATCGAAGTCTGTCGCAACTCAAACAGCTTACTGGCAGTATCTCACTGTGATAAGGGTCCAAATCCCACAGAAGGAAGCAACACCATTAGAATTAAAGACACATCTTGTAGATGAGTTCCTGAATGAAATACAGGTTTGCAACCGATTGCCTAGTCATCTAACATCAGAAATTTTAGAAACATTTAACCGGTCCGCTTCCCACAGAGACAAAATCTACACCCAGAACATTTAAACATACTAACATACTACCACCAAAATAATGATGACAATACAAATAACGAAAAACTGAGGCTATTGAATAGACAATATATGCCAACAAAAAGCTGTGTGGGATATCTGAGCCCTGGTACACCTTAAGATATGAGTCCGATTCCCATTAACACAGAAAACCTTTACTTTCTTCGCAGTAAAACACTTTTAGCTTTGGTGGTATTTGACAAAAACTTCTGGAAAAGACCTGAATATTGAACAAATGTTTAAAATACGTAGTAAAACATCTTATTAAAGACAAATATGTTACGAGGTGAACAAACCTTAAAGCAAGTGTTGGTTGTATGTGGTTTGGAGCCTGTGGAGATATGACAACAGAAGCTACTGACGGTGATGTGGAACAGTTTTTATTGATTAATGAAGCAACTAATGGAGTAGAAGCTGTCGTAACACCAGATGTACTTAGCCGCGATGGACTGTTTAGAACATTCGGCACTGACAAACAGGATGCAGTAGTTGTGACAGTTGGATGCAAAAAGATACTCTGACTTGATGCTGACGCAACACTAGAGCTTCCTGAATAGTTCCCTAAGTGAAGTTGTAGTGGTGTCGGTGCACTTGATGTTGACGGAGGCAATGTAGATGCGGCAGCCAATATCAAAGGGAAGAACTGATTGGTAGAATTAATGGGAGATGAAACTGATGTAGCCGACATTTGTAAACTTGAAACATGTGGTAAAGGCGTATTGGCCACAGATGCAGTGGTAAGAGCAGTAGGTTGTATTATTGTTTGATTTATTAGACTAGACAGAGGTTGCTGGACGCTAAGCAATACACGTGGGAAAAATGGTACAGTTTTTGATGAATTGGAAGAAGGGTTTTGCAAAATGGAAGTGCATATATGAGTTGGACGATCTGGTTCTAGAGAGGAATTCACAAAAATAGGCAGCCATTAAAAAAACCACATGGTAAGGATATAAGTATGATTAAGTTATTTCTTTACATATAGTATAATTCGAAACAGAAACTCCGATAACTCCTAGTGAGAAAAGCACCAGAAGCAAAAACGATATATATATATATATATATATATATATATATATATATATAATCACATAAAGTTCATCTTAATCGTGTTTTAGAAACTACACATATAGCCTTTACAAATTATTTAGAGAAATCTGTTTTATAAAATTCAGGCATGAAATGTCACAGAAATACTGCCTTTGAATAACTCTGATTCTTAAGGCAAACTATTACTAAGTCTGTAGGTATCATTACCAAGTCTTGATTTGATAATTTTGAATAAATTGAGCATTGGGTAGATTGTTTTAAATAAATTATGTATTTGTAATATCCCAATAAATCTAATTTTTCTACTCATTGGGATATTACAAATATACAATTTATTTATTACTAAGTCTGGTAACTGTATAGTTTCAAAACCAAACGCTGAATATACAATTCAATTACAAATATTTGTAATGGGATATTAGACCTGAAGAATTAGAGTATTTCGCAAAACGCGTGTGAGCTATTCCGCTGAGATCTATGCTTACCAATATAAGCAGGAAGTGGAAAATAAATGTAAAATAATCTCCTTTATTACATACTTCATAGACAAGGGTAGAGCAATGAACCCAATGTGACCAAATTGACTTAATTTTATCTGACGTCCCAAATGACAGTATTCATAACTCACAATACGGAGCAAATTCTTTAGCTGTAACTACTTAGTTTCCAAACAACAACTACAAAAACCCCTAAATTATGCTCGGAAGTGCTTTAATACTACAGATGAGATGGAGGCTTGAATAAATAGATTTTGATGAGTTTAAGCAAAGGCATATTTATCCAGCTGGTAAGCCCTCAATAAAAACCGTACCGAAGAGCAATACAGGGCAGAGTACTATATAGGAAAGATAAGAATAAAGCTTAATGGGTGGTTGTCAGTCCCACTGCCTCATGATTAGCCTACGAAACCAGTACTTTCCAATTATCTATGCTACGATGTTCTTCATGTTTATTGTGTTCAATGTTTTCGCTTATAGTCAAACCATTTTACAAGAAACAGCCCTATTTTATTGTCCAGTTATGTTGATTTGTTAATGATTAATTTTGAGCTGGTGTGACCAGCTATCAGTCGGTCATGCCACAGTATAACCCATCAATCAGCATTATTTGTTTATTAAGACCATCAAGCACAACAACGATTCACGGTATCCCTTGATAAATAGAGACAACAGAGGACTTGGTTTGACTGAGGAACAAGTTAGGATTCCGAGCATGATGTAATACGATCAAGCGATTAACAGAGCCTTGATGAACACAAAAGGATTTCGATCCTAAAGCCAAGTCGAGCTCAGCTTGGTGTTTGTGGGAACGTTAGTTGCAACAATTAGTTGGATATAAAAATGTTTATAATAAAAAAGCCCAATATAAGTTAGTCGTAAAAATGGCGATGCTTTTTGACAACCTTGGCAAGAAACTTAAGAAAGACCAATTTTTGAGGTCACTGCTTAACTAAAAGATATTCGAAAGAATACCTCGGGGTGTTCAATGAGCGAAAGAAACCTAAATCTAGACTCTAAAAAGTGTGGGTAGTGATTAGAAGTGGTGGATGATGAAAGTGAAGCAGATGAAAGAGGGATGGGCAATACGTAGATGTTCAGACTCATGAGAAAGGTGGGTGCCAAGATGTTGGTGACCGTTGTATTAAAAGACGATGGTATGATTCACTTTCAAAGTAAGCGATTAATGAGCAGATTAACTGGTTTGCAGTTAATCTACAGTTCTTCATTATTCAACACCCTGAAAAAATTACCCTGAAGCCATTAAAATTTACGCTTTAAAGAGTATGACTTAAAGCAAGGGGAAGTAGGAGGACTTGACGGAATAACTACGGAGGTCTATAGAGACAGTGATCTAGGAATATCATTAGAATTGGCTGGTTATAGCTAGGACTTGACAGCCATAATAATTCTAAACGACTTGCTATAAAAGCTAATGGTGATAGTTTAAAAAGTAAAGGAATCGTATTGTAATGACCACAGAAGAATTAGTTGAACTAGTGTTTAAAATACTAACTTCAATAATTTGAAACCTAGCCGGAGCTAAAGAACAGGAAGCCACAATACACCGAGTAGGTTACGAATATGGTCTTGAATGTGTTGGTTAAATATTCGCTCCAATGTGTTTCTGAACATGAGAACAAATACAGTGAACGTAGTCGCCCATTTTTATTTGAGGTCTCTGTTTTAATTTCTTGGTTGGTAGGCTTTATGCTTTGCATCACCCTGATCTGAGTCAGGTCGTAAAATGCAGATGAGGAATGTGGGTCGGATCAGTAACCATAACGTATGGATGCGGACGGATGACATAGAATAAATTCTATAAATGTAGTATGATCACGCTTTGCTTTCCTTTCCTTTAAACCCTGAGTTTAGTATTAATCCATAATCTACATTCTTTATTTTTATTCGAACTATAATTTTCATGTTCGGCTTCTCACCAGACTTGACAGAATTTTTGTCCAAACCCTCATTTTGTTGACTCCCTTTATCAGTGTGTTGATTTAAAGGGTGGTAGCTTAAAAAGATAGGTATATTTTTCGATTAACTTTACAAGATACTCACAGGACTGAGAAAAATCATCATTGAATAAGTAGGGGTTCAGTTTCTCCCTTCGAGTAGTCGGCGTAGCATTACCCCAATTACTGGAAGACCTTAAAATACATATGAATGTCGAGGGAAATACATAAGTAAGTGTTAACACAAATCTAGTGGACGATTATCTCTAAACAAAACCTTTGTTTTACTCCACAAGCATGATTTGCGGATTGTCGCAAAGTGATCTGTCCTGACTTTGAGACCCATATAATGTATGTCTGATAAGATAATACTATAAGAAGACCGTGATTCACTAGATGAATGGTTGAATAAGCGGACATTGGAAATCGGTGATGAATATAACGAATTGTGAAGGTTTATACAACTATGCAGTAAGTGGAATGGCAATAATCTGAGTAATGGACTATAAAGATTTAGACGCTTTAACTACCAGTGCGGATTGAATTACGAATAAATATAAGGTTCCCGCTGCCTAAGGCTTTAGCATCTTATTAACTATTTGTAAGCCACTCTGAAAAATAAATATTCAGGATATGAGGTGAGACTACAATGAATAGATGAACCAATCTGATCTAAGATTGTGACTCTTGGATTTTGGAGCGGAATTCATTTATCTATACAGTTAAATTACATTTTGATAGCTGATGTCAGTTCATGATCAAAGCCCTATTTTTAATTCCTAGTTCCAACTTATAAGTCTAACGTCCGGTCTCGGCTCCTCACATCAATTAATAATCATACTTCGATCGTAGTAAAAGTTTGAATTTTCTCAAGGACACGGCAGTACCGCTCGAAAGTTGTCCATAAATCATAATTCCTCAGGATATTATACCTAGTATGTGTAGGACCCCATTTGCTATATATGACCCGGAGTCCTTACTTCAGGTATGAAGCAAGTATGACAAAATGAATCACACGGCGAACAACCAGAATGAAGATTGGCTGACCTACCTAATGAAAACAGACCTAGACGCCTCAAACCACTTCCGTTATCACAGGTTACGATGTGATTTAGTACTGGCTTAAGTGAAACTAATTTATGGATGACCTTTAAGCGACGCTAAAAATGCCTTGAGAATGTTCACGTACATAGTGTATTATAAGCCAGTACGAGGGATTAGGATTAATATTTACAGTAGATGTTTAGGAATTAGACTTAGTGGTTTCATCACGAACTGACCTCAGTTATAATGCCGAAACGGTATTTAGTCAAATAGATGAATCAGTTTTGCGCCAAAATCGAAAACTGTTTGGTCCGTCCATGAATTATAGTCTCGCCGAGGATTATAATTTATGGACGGACTAAACATTTAGGACGACAGGTTTCGATTCATCGATTTTGCTTAATAGAGTTTTGAAATTTTAGATGTTATTTCGTGATGAAAACTCCAAGTCTAATTCCTAGCCCCAACCATCAGCAGCGAATTTTAATTTAAATTCCTTGCACTAGTTTATAACCCTCGTAAAGCCCTAGCTGGCAGGTGGACGTTTTCAAGGTTACTTTAACGTCACACAAACCATCCTTAAATAAGTCTCGCCGGACCCCTAATAAGACGCGTAATACTAACATCCGTTGATACACTGACAGCAAGGTTTGATCTATGCAGTACTACATATACTGAGAATTAGTAGGGATGCATTGACCTCAGTATACTGTTAACTTCAACCCCATAAAACGGGGAAAAACTAGGACCCAAAGAATGACAGGTTCGAAGCGGACTTGACAAGTGCTTAACACAAAGCTTAGTTACCATAAATTAATCTTGGAAGTCAGTTAAGTTCAGAATTGAGATTAGACCGTGAAAATTAAACTCAAAATCAGCTAATAAAAACAGTCAGAATCCACGCAGTCAATTTTATGTCAATAAGACTTTGAGGCCGACTCTACCTTATTCAAGGCAATCAACTATTTATTACACGCAATATCATGGACGGTGTTCATGTAGGTAAACTGCGAAGTTACGTCACACATGGCAGTAAATAGCATACGCCAGTCATAACAACAAATAAGGCTAACTTTTACTAACCTCTAGCTAGTTTACCTGCTGGCAAAACTTGGTTGATATCGTTGTCAATATCCATAAATAACAGGATGAAGTCACTTCAGTTGGACGTCCATTATTTATAATCCAAGAGTCCGTAAGCCAAGGTGTAAACGTGGCAAAGCGACATCAACATATTATTACTTTGGACTATCAACAGTATGAACGCCAATCGTTGTATGAGTCTTGACAACTCAGATTTATGTTACAAACAAACCCAGTCCACAAACGCCAAAACCGAAAGCATCTTTGACCTTCACAAACCACTTGAAACAAACAAACAATCCCTTCAACTATAAGATGGTCTTCTGGTTTCATCAACCTAACCATTAATTTCTAATTTGAAGATAAAATCATGTGCTTCGGCTTAAATGCATTCTGTTATTCTGGCTGCTTCCTGTCACTAAATGATATACTACATTCAATATCCAGTAGCATTGGCACGAGCTTGTATAAACCAGATTATTTCTTTGCGCTTATTTATTTCCGTTTCAATATATTTTCAAGTATTTGACCATGTGTAATTGTTGATAGTCTAGCACTTGTTCTAGTCAGTTTGTTAGTTATTTATAGCCTTGTACGTTTTGTTGGGCGCTATTTAAAAAGGACAGTGGTATTTTTCCTCGTTGAGTAAATTCTATTGTTTTGATCGTTATTAACGTATCAAGACTACTGTTTTTATACTTTGATTGAATTTCTTTCAGTTAAAGTATTCTATTAGAGTATCATCTTTGGTATCCTAAATAGTTTTATCGTCGGTACTCCAGAGTACCTTCTTTTTCCATTGTGTCTGTTAGTACTTTGGTTCTAACTGTTTATAGTTTTTTTTTTCTACTTATAGTCAACACTCACTTTCGCATCTTAAAATGACTGGAAGATGCAACAAAAGCATTTGCCACCGCCCAGGATGTCGATATCCTGTTGATAGCGGCATGCAGTGCGATGAGTGCAAAGGTTGGTACCACGATGTTTGCACGAATCTAACACCTGCAGCTTTCAAGCGGTTTAGTAAAAATGGATGTGTATGGCTATGTCAACAGTGCTGTTTGGATGCAAATAGCCTGCTAACCGAGGCCATTTCAATAGTAAATGCCGCAAAAAAGTGTCTCGGCAAGCGCGGTCGGGATACATCAGTCAGAACTCAATCTGTCGACACGCAGATTGACACAAGGCAGGCTCAAGTGAGTCCAAAAACTGCCGACCCACACCCTACTAAGGAGGAAGAACATCCTCCAAAGAGGACTGTTACAACCAGAAACTCGCGCAAAAAAGTCTCTTCTGTCCCTCGTATCAAAAATGGTACCCAGAAGGGAACTTCAGGAAGCCGAAACCGCAAGGCTCGATCGGTTTCCAGCGCGAAAGATGACCCGATCTCCCAAGTCGTCCTGACTCTTCCGGAATCCCACAGTACGCCTGACGCGAATGTGGTTACCACTCCAAAGAACGTTGGCGATTGGGTACGGGTCGTAAGAAAAAAACGCCAAAATGACGTAAAAGGAAGTCATACCCCCACCAAAAGGGTCGACAAGCCGAGGTCTGATCACAGCGACAGATCAGTCATTCTCCATAGAGTCAAGGAGAGTGACAACTTAGAACCGAAAGCTCGTTTTGAGCATGACATTGTGTTGATAAAACAACTACTCAACCAAGTTATGCCCAAAAACATCCCCGGAGTCACCTTGCTAAAGGTGTATAGACTAGCAAATCTAGCGCATCTGAAACCAAATCAGTCTAGACTACTCAAAGTCGTTTTCAAATCCTCAAACGAACGCGACTTAATCTTAGAAAATGGACACAAATTAAAGGGTTCAGGAGTTTTTCTCCGTAAGGACTTACCGTTGGCGGACCGTGTTAAAAGACGGGAAGCCGAAAAGGAACTACAGCTCAGATTAGACGCTGGCGAAAAAGACCTGAAAATTGTAAATTTTCGGGTTGTGAGGCTTCGACAGAGGATGATGCCGAAGCCACTCTGGGTGAAGCACGAGGCCACCTAAATAGGCTTCGGATCTGTTATACCAACGCCCGGAGCTTACTAAATAAGCTACCGGAACTAGGTGTACAGATTGACTCAACTAGGCCAGACATAATCGCAGTCACAGAAACATGGCTGACGCCGTCTATAGATAGTAGGGAACTTGATTTCGAGGGTTTTACATTAGTAAAGGCCGATAGAACACAAACGCGTAAAGGAGGGGGAGTAGCTCTGTTCATTAGGAATGCTATTCCATTCACCATTATCGACAGTGTATCCCATGAGAGTGGGACGTACGAATTAGTTTGCTGCCGCCTGAAATGCAGGGGACAAGAGTTACTGCTTAGTTTGATCTATCGCAGTCCAAGCTGTGAGGCAAACGAGGTCCTACTAAGCAGTCTCGACACTTTATCACGAAGTGATCGATGTCTAATCCTAGGGGACTTTAATGCACCCATGGTGGACTGGGGAAATCTGCGGACTGAATCGTCAGCAAACTCCTTCGAACAGGAACTAGTTGATGCGGTAATCACATGTGCCCTAGTGCAACACGTGAAGGAAGCAACTAGGTACGACCCGGGTTCTGCATCATCCTTACTAGTTCTTATATTGACTCATTATGAGGATGATGTTGCAAACCTGGATTACGTGCCACCCCTAGGCAAAAGTGATCATGCAGTTTTAAGCTTTGACTTCCATATAACTGTCGATCACGAGTACGCTTCAGCTCAATCCAGACCTAACGTCTGGAAAGCAAACATACCAGATATCATGCACTCAGCATCATTAGTAGATTGGAAATTAGACCCAGAGTCATCAATCGAAACAGCTTGGGACGTATTCCGGAATTTATACTTAAAAGTTACCACCCCCCACATCCCTTGGACTACACCTAAGAGACCGAGAAACTCCCCACCGTGGTTCAGTAGGGAGGTTCGCATCCTTCTCCGTAAAAGAAGGAAAATGTGGGACAGATTTAGGTTACTGGGGACTGACGAGGCAAAATCTCAGTATCAAAAGGCTCGAAATACCTGTGCCTCGACCCTCCGTAAGGCCAGAAAGCTGTACGAAGAGAAAATCGTTAGGGAATCCATAGAATGCCCAAAACGCTTGTATTCGTATATAAACCAAAGGACAAAAAGAAGAAGAAATGTTCCTTCACTATGGGGAGACAGTACTGCCACATCACTAGTGGAGGATGACTTTGGCAAAGCTCAAGTATTCTCTAAATACTTTAGCGATGTATACACCATAGAAACACCCTTCTCACCAGTCCATGAAAATCCACCCACACAAGCACTGGACAGCGTAACCATTAACGAACTCGATGTCTTTGGTCTGCTAACTAAGCTTGACATAGGTAAATCCACTGGACCCGATGAACTGCATCCTAGGTTATTAAAGGAATTAGCTAACTTTGTTGCGAACTTTTTAAGTGTATGTTTTAATCTATCCGTAACCCAGGGTCGTCTACCAAAAGACTGGAAGAACGCCATAGTAAGTCCAGTCTTCAAAACAGGTACAAAACATAAGCCTGAGAATTACCGACCAATTAGCCTAACTAGTGTGGTTGTTAAAATCTTAGAAAAGATTATTCGGAAGGAACTGTTAAAGTATCTCGATGAAAACCGGATCCTCTCCGAAAAGCAGCATGGTTTTAGAACAGGTTACTCTTGTCTCACAAACTTATTAGTCGCTCGTGAAAGCTGGTGCGCTCTTAAGGACCAAAAATTACCTGTAGACGTAGCTTACATCGATTTCAGCAAAGCTTTCGACAAAGTTCCGCATAACCGGCTGTTATATAAGCTAAGGAATGTCGGGATTGGAGGCAATCTATTGATGTGGATAAAAGACTTCCTAGTTGGGCGTCAACAAAGAGTAAGGGTGAAATCCAAGTTGTCTAGCTGGGAAACTGTGCTTAGTGGAGTCCCCCAGGGTACAGTTTTGGGGCCAGTGTTATTCCTCCTGTACGTAAATGATCTCCCTCGTCTACTATCGTCATCGGTCTTACTCTATGCTGATGATGTCAAGATATGGAGAGCGATACAAAGCAAGGGCGATAGCTTAGAACTTCAAAATGACCTGGAGAGATTATCTGAATGGTCCCAAACCTGGCAATTGCCGATAAACACTTCCAAGTGTATTGTGATGCATATTGGCCATCAGGGTACAGATACATACACGATGAATAACACTGAGTTACCTATTGTTCAGGCACACAATGACTTAGGCGTCATCGTTAGTCAAGACTTAAAGACTACTGCACACTGCCGTGCAATAGCCGCCAAAGGTTTTAGGACTTTATGGTCCATACGCAGGGCTTTTAGGCATCTTGACGCTAAAACGTTTTTCACTTTGTATACAGTGTTCGTACGCCCTAAACTTGAGTACTGTATACAAGTAGCTAACCCCTGCCTAAAAAAAGACAGTGAACTCTTGGAAAGAGTTCAGAGAACAGCAACTAGGCTGATTCCCGGAATAGCGAAGCTCCCGTATGGTACTAGACTGACCAAGCTAAACCTATTCCCGCTGTCATATAGAAGAATCAGAGGTGACTTGATTATAGTTTTCAAATTGCTAAATGACAAATTTGCACCTGATATGCCCTCATTTTTCTTGTCTTCCAAAACAGAAAATCTACGAGGACACTCCAAAAAAGTTCACAAGCCCAGAACGAATTACTTGTCAGCTGACTACCGACTTTCCCATCGAATAATCAACTAGTGGAATTCATTACCTCAGCACGTGGTTGAGGCTCCATCCGTCGACTCCTTCAAAAGAAAGTTGGATCAGCTGAGAGACCATCATTGCCAGGACTAACACAGGCCACCAAGCCTCCTGTCCTTTCCAAACTGAAACTGAAACTGAAACTGAGTGCGTTTTTCTCAGATGAATAGGGTTTCTGAATAACAGCAGCTATTAAATAAACAGGTAGAAGGTTGGTTGAGTGTAATGTGAATATAATAAACTGGTAGTTAGAGTGCAAAGAGAGTATGATTGCTTCAAGAATCACAGAAAGCTAATTAGTTGATTATGTGTAATAAAATTGAACTGAAAAAAATAAGGGGGGAAATGTAGATGACAATAAGAAGCATAAGAAGTAGTTACTGATTATGTGTTGGTGATAACCGTGGCAATTTATAGGACGCACACTAGACAGATCTGGCCCAAGAGGGAGATTGTAATCCGTAGATGAGTGCGTATTTCCAAATATTCTCCAGTGCGTCGGCTGCGGTCACTTCGAGTGGGAGAGCATTTCAATTTGGATTCTATTCCTCT